GACGATGTTATCCCCGAAATTGCTGAGGCCGGACACATTGAAAATGGTCAATGCATGGGGAGTGCGAGGTCTAGTAATGAAGAACACGTAGATCAAGACCAATTTCATGAAAATAGGGCTTCAATTCCGACTTCAAACGAAGTAATATTTAACGAAGAGGAAGAGGTTTACGAAACAACAGAAAATATCACCGATAAAGTCGGCAGATGGACTTTTTCCACTGGAGCTGCTCGAAAATCTAAATCGAAATCAAAGCTTATCTCTACCACCTCCGCGAAGGACTACAATGCGGAAAAACTAGCTGTACATAGCGCGTCACAAAGACTTATTAGAGGTAACTTAGACATTGCGTATTTCGTATGTCTTTTTTAGAGGCTGAGGTATTACTTCCTTGCTATAAGCCAAAGCAGTATTCTTCATTCACAGAATTTCGCAAGGCTTTACGAGGCGAGAAGTCATTTCCAGCATCAGTCAAGAAAATTCTTACGACAGATGAGTAATACATACACAGTTTCAATTACATCTTTTAGAAATGAGGAACTAGTTGCTAAAGATGTTTGTCATGCCGATTCTCAAGTCGAATCAAATGCGGTAGCGATTGGCACTGCTGCAAACTCCCGGCCAGATTCGGTGTCGTGCAGCTCTGAGGAATTATCAAACCCTCGAAGTTTTAAGTTGCCTGACAAACTTCCGGAGATCCGCTTGCTTAAAGCACAAGATGATGATCTCATCGATTTACGTAAGCTATATGGCTGTGGACTCAGCTGACCACCTTGCTTAACATTCTCAGGCGCTTTTATTTTTTTTTGTAGTTGATGATGGGAACCCTGTTATACCCGCAGGAATTCACAGGGTTAATCGTCTTCTTGCAAGACTGAATCACAATGCCCCACAAACGAAGAATGGGATCGGAAACGCTAATCCAGCAGGACCGGTGAAATATTCCATTGTTAAAAAAGTAGGTCTTCCCTTCGATTAAAATATTGCCATATTTCCTATCTAAGGCATAAAACACTGGAGGTAGACTCAAAGTTTCGTAAATGGCGTGTGCGGATTGAAGTATGCGGTCATTCTGTTTCATGAATCTGTGTTAACAACGATAAAGTTTCATTTCGATGTAGAAACTTGCTTAAACTAAAAGCCTATTCTTAAATGCATGTACTTTTCTTGAACATTTGCCTATTATTTGAATGTCAATAGGTTACGGACGAGGTAACAAAAAGCCAGTCTCTGCAGATGGAATCAGTTACCTATGAGCCGCGTGTTGAGAATGTGGTAACATTCACCGATCGTCGAATGTGGAACAAGCATAGGGCTGAGTTACAGGAAGTGATGCGCGCCAAAAGGCTCAGGCTTTACGAAGAACGAATGCAAAACTACGAGCCCCCTGAGCCGCTTGCCAAAAAACGGAATCACGACTCCGATGAGGTATTTTGACGCAATGTGATTTTAAAACTTGGATCGCATGCAAAACGCCTGTTTTTTTTTCAAAATACCATAAGTTGAAACTTCTCAATGAAGTGATTTAAGTTATTTAAATTCGTGCTTGATACAAATTTTAGAGAGGCTACTTATCCCCCTTAGGTCTTTTTAGCCAAAGCATTTCACAAAACTACCGTTTATCTAGAGCTCGATCTTCTCACCAAGTCCTTTACATTGGATTTTATTTTCGGAGGTATTAGTTATCTTCCTCATACAAATTTTCTGGCTCTTCAAGAATCTGTATTTCCAGGGTGCCTCAGTTATTGCCGTTGATGGGTTGGAACTACTGAACGTATTTGAATAGTGAGGTAGTTAAAACGTTTGGGCGTAATTTAATATTTCAGGAAGACTGGTCTGGGGGCGACGAGAGTGTTGACACTGACACTCTCACAGAGACTGAAACAGAAGAGGAGGAGGAGGAGAACGAGGAGGGGGATGACCTCCCGAATGTTTCCCACGTTCGAAAAAAACTTCATCCTCTTATTGACGACGAAGCAATGGAGGATAGCAGCGAAGATTCGCCGAGAAATCCAGCTAGAATTCGAGTGGTATGATTTGTTTTAGAACGATAATTTCATTTGTAATTAGCTTCCACACTGTTTTGGGTTGGTTCAAGTGTAGTGTCCGCTTACAAGACTTACTTATACTGAAGAAAGGCTTAATTAACCAACTGTTCGTCCATATAACCTCCGTCTAAATTTATTGAAATTTGTAAGTGCGACATCCGAAGACATTTTACTAAATACTATCTAAAGTGTTCATAATAAAAATGCACATGTGTTACTTCTGCTTCAACCTAGTACCTATGTCGTAGACTGATCTTGTTGGACCTACAAGTTTTTATATACCCCCCCTGCCAATAACACGGACGTAAATTCGCTTCCAATCGGGCCTGGCTTATTGAAATGTCGTTGTAGTCACATAAGCCGAATGATTTCAATTTCTAGACCTCGCCTCCGTGCACGACCTTTGAAGACGATGAGGAGGAATTTACGGACCTACCGGGTGGGATCAAGGCAACTGGGTCAGGTAGGTACCCCCTTTTGTGATTTTATTTCCAAATTTGTATATACAATAAGTCTTTTTAGGTTCCTGCAAGTCCGATGGAATTGCTGATATTTCCCGCTACCCGCGTCACAGAGCCTGTGTTGAACCCTGTGATGTTGACCTCTTTGCTAGTGATACAACCCTTCCGTCGGATAGTAAGTTGGTGGTGTTTTAATCGTATCCTATCATTCCAGAAACCCTGAATGCGTCGAAAACATCGGCGCGGTACGAACCGCCGAGTTTTGTATCCTCCGAGCCTTCGTGGATTGCTACGCCTTACAGTCTTTTCTTCAGTCAAAAACCAGCTCCACCTATGGAGAGTAAGCTATCTATGCCTTTTATTTGATAAACTTTCTCAGGCATTGCGGACGATCCAACATTGGAGGATACAACAAAGCTTGCAGATTCGACAGTTTCCTTTGAGCGTTCAAGTGTGCTTCCTTCACAGACACAACTTCTTGGTTCGACGCAGCCTATATCTGATGAAGAAACGGAAACTCAGAATGTAGACATGTCGGCGATTCCAGAAAACGATTTCGTAGGTGAAGTTGTGAAGCCGCGGTTGTTACGAGTACGCCAGTTTATACCAAAAGAACACAACTCATGTGGTATGCGTTATTTGAGTGCTGAAATTTTGGTTCAGAAACCGTTTGCCAATCCCAAACACAACTACTTCCCGAGCAAGCTCTTTCACTTTCGCCGAATGAGGGTAGTCATTGTGGTATTTTTTTTCTATGTCATGTTTTTACTCAACTAGATAAGCCTTTGAAGCCGAAATTATTTCGGGCTTGTAAACCGTTCACAAATGATCGAGGTAACGCTAGATTTGTACTTTTAACCATCTTATCCTGAAGACCGAATTCCCATGGAATCTCCGCCCAGATACGATGGCAATGCGTCTCCAGCAGATGCCCCAACGAACTCGAAGGCGAGGGCCCCGAAACCACTGCTGGTGCGGAATCGTGATCGTCTGGCAGGTAGTGCCTCCTCATTATTATCATCTCGTGTTTGCAGATAAGACGGATAAAACTCAATTGATGGGCAATGAAACGGTCGGAACAGATAAGTCGCTGTTAGACGCCCGATCATCGTCACATGATTTCACTCAAGGCACTGCAGGTATGTACTTAAAGGCGTCGTGTCACAGGACTTTAAAATAGCGCTTGTAATTCCCTCACCTTTTGTTAACTTATAACTAACACAAAGTTTTGTTTGTTGTCTAGATTTGAGCTGTTTCTCCCTCTTCTCGACATGGGGCAGTGGGCCATCGCAGCCTAATAACGCCGAAACAGCAGACACCGTCGTCACTCAACCACCCGAAGCCTCTACTTCACCTTCTTCGACACTTGTATTAGACGATCAACCACCCGAGGCCACCGATGGTTCTCAGCCTGCCCATGATACTGATCCACTGGGGTCGGAAGTGTCGATATCGAGGAAAAAGGATGAAGCTCCTGTGAGAATTACCTTTATATTTGATTTTTAAGATTTCAAATACCTGGATTTTTTGTACATCATCAAATAATCCTGTGTATGGTTAGTTTGATTGGACTTTAATCAACTCGTGTCGTGCGCGGCATCTCTGAATTAACCGTTGAAAAACCAGTTTCAGAGCGAACATTGCGGCAAGCGTCACAGGCGCTTACGACACGATTCCAGTGATAATTCGGACTTGGAAGCCAAGTCAGAGGCGTGTGCCGAGATGACAGGAAGTGTGGATGAGTGCGAAAATCGGGTTGTGAAGCAGAAGGTGTCCAAACCCAAGTCAGACCTTCCTACCGACCCCCTAGACTTCTTGTCAATGGCCGACGTGGATGATGTTGATGATGACGACGAAGAAGCATCCATGGATGATAAAGTCGATGAAGTAGAAGAAGAAGAAGAAGACGTCGATGGATCCTCCGGCTCCTTGACTAGCGACCTTGAAGAAGAATATCTTAATCTCGGACGTAAAACACCAAGAGACAAGCGGAATCCCAGGTAATTGTCATGTTTTGGTCTAAGTCTTTAATGCTCAATCACCCAGTTCATTTGACCTTGCGTGAAAAGCTACAGCCTCGCAGTTTGTCAGACTGTAAGTAGCTCTTCTGACACTCGAGACTCGGCAGCTGTTTTACGCCTGTGATTGCCATCCTGCTTGAGACTAAATTCCTTAGCGCTTTGAATGTCCACATGGAATTTGGGCGTCCTTCTAAATAAAATTTCATCAGCTCTAAAACACGAGGAAGTGGGAGCTTTATGCATTTTAGTTTGTAACTTCAAACGGACAATATCTATTCGTCCTTGTAGTTGTCTAAAATATGTGCTAGATGTGATTCGAAGTATGATTTGATTCTTGGCAGTTTGAGTTACGTCTGATTCCTTCTACTGATGGAGTAAGGCCCATTTGTATCCGTCATCTGGCCAATCTTCGATTTCGTTTTGCTATGCGTTCATTAGTGAACTATTGTTCCCACAGTCAGGGAAAAATCATGACTTTGAATGGGGTTGTGATGCCTGTCAACCGTTATTTATTTATTTATTTGCGTTGTTGTAGATTTCAACCCGAGGAATTCATCGATGCAGAGGCAGAACTGTCAGGTGATGAAGTTGAGCGTGCCAATTATGCCGACGAACAGGAGGACGAAGATGATTCGGACGCTGTGAGCCTCAAAGAATTTGTGGATGAAACTGAGATGGACGATCGAAGTGGAAAATTGCGTCGCGAGGTCGAACGCGTCTACAATCGTATCCAAGCGGACGAGGATCAACGAAAATTGCGCTACCTCAAGGTACATCTTCCGTCTCATGTCACTTGACCGGCCTGTGGTTAAGATTAGCTTTTTATGAGCCTTCTTGTTGGGGCACTGAGGGTCGATGATCCGCAAGGTCGGGTAGCCGTTTCCTGTCTTCGAGGCCCAGCATTAACCTATTATCCGGCATATCTACTTTTTCGTTTTTTTTTATAAAATGCACTTCCCTTGCTTGCCTTTTGCCTAACTTAGTAGGAATTACTACCACTTCCTCAAATGCGCTGTACTGTTTGCCTCTTATGCACGGTTTCTGTTGCTTTTCGTGCTTTAGAACTAAGTCCGAGGTTTCTGTGGAGAAATTTTGCGCCATTTTGACTCTCAATGGAAAGGGCTTATTCTCATGCATTTCGGTTAAATATTGCAGATCACCTGTTTTAAAATTGCCAGTTTCGCAGACTCTCAAATTAAGGTGTCGGTTTTACCTAAACTATACTTCAAGTTAAACAGAAAGATTTCAGCTAGTGAATGCATTGGGTAAAATTTGCTGGTAATGTAATGGGACAATGCAGATTCTAGATTTTTTCCCGTGAGTGCTTTTTCTTAGGTGCTAGATGTGTTCGAATGTCGTGGAGTCCGAAGTTGGGTTTATGCAAAACTCTTCACGAGGGTGTGAAGAACCAGTGGCTTTACGCACTAGCAGTTACCTCACGAAACTCCCTTTTTTTGGGAGAATCCCTGGTTCATTCTTTTGTTTGTCCTTGTTGCACCGTCCACTGCCTCTTATTCTGGTGTTTGTGCAGGAAATGTTCTTCGAAGATGGTGATCTTTACGACGAGGATGGGAAAGTCCGTCAAAGACGTTTTCGGTGGCGAGGTCTCGGTAAGTGCCAGTCTTTCCACCCTCAGGGTGTCACATCTACTTCATAACCTCAACATACTATAATTGAAAAGGGCAATTCACTAGGAGGCTCTGCTTCAATTCGGTTCTCAAGATTGTATTTAAAGGAGTAGTTTCAAAATTCTGAGCTATTTCTTGCACCAGTTTGGCAGATGGTAATGAATGACGTCAAAACAAACGAAGAAACCATGTTTCTGTCCAGTTATCTGCGTTTCGCCGATCTCAAGCCAAATAGGAATTAGCGTCAATTATAGATAAAGTTGTTCTGAGGTGGTTGAGTGAATGTAGTCAATGTCAGTCACAAAGGTTTCATTGTCATCTGCCTAGCACCCTATTCTCCGGCTTTGAAATCTGAAGGCCGTGGTTTTGTTTTTTCGTATTTTGGAATCCTTATTGGCCTTTGAGGTATATTTGAAAAATAATCTTCCTGTTGGCATTGAAAATACTTTAAAAACCTCGAATTTCTTTTGATCACCTTTGGACGTAATTGTTTGGTGTGATTTGAGGGGACGACATTTCTTCTACGTGAAAGTAAAACCTTGTCTGAATTCTCAACGCGTACGAACTGAGGCATCATCCCAAACCGTCTAAACACGCGCAGGGCAGCATAAATCACATTTTCTTAGGGAAGCCGATTTCTTGATGTTGTTTACACAGCAACCTAAAAATCGTTGGCGCACCGCCCTTATTTGCGATTTTAAATCATAGGACCTAAATGTGTGCATCTCTTTTGTTACATTCTTTGGGCACTTGTAACAAAACCAAAAAATGGCTTTTTTAATTATCCCAGCCTTTGAACACTCAGTTTGCCAGACCGATTTCTAAAAATAAGGTCACCAATTTTTTGCTGCTAACCGGTAGGATTAGTGTGTTTGTTGTGCCAACTTCTACTGTTGTTTCTACCTTCTCTAGAGAACGACGATCCTTTCTCGACGAACGACGTTGATTTAGATGAAGACAATGACGCCGAAGAAGACGGAGACGCAAGCACCTCCGGCTGGTTGTCTGGTGGTGCAGGCGTCATGAGTCGTTGGCTGCTTCAGCGTTCCGCCGGCTCCCTCGCAGAAAATGACACATCCCCCACTGGGGGGCTTGGTGGTGGCAGCACGACGACGGTCCTGACGCCTGGTGGAATGCCTTCAAACGATGCAAGTCATTCCAGTAAACCATGGGTGCTAGAGTTTCCTGATGTTTGCTGGCGCGGATGTCGAGTCTTTGTGGTGTTATGATTATTTTCGGTTATGAAGGAACCTAGTCTGTTGGGCGGTTAACCAGCTAGAGGGGCAAATTTTCCTTTTTTTGTGAATCTATGCATTCTACTCGACCACTGTTCAGACGTAGGTTTGCAGAAATGCAATGCGCATCTTCTGGGAAAACTGAAATGGTATTTGGTGATATGGAGAAAGTTTTGTAGAAGTAGTGTACGTCGATGAATTCATCGCCTTTTGGGCTCTAATTACACCCCGCCGGTTTCTTGGTGTCCACTTTCACCACAAACGCACAGGATGATGTTTTCGTTGTTGGGTCTTCCAAAAGCTAAAGTGCAGGGGTATTTCCTAGTATTTGTGTATCTTGAGGTAACGCATATGTCGACAATTGAATGCTTTTATTCGATCCTGTGTCTCTAAATCAAATCAGTGGTTTTAACTTGGATTCGGCTATGGCTTAATTTCACCATTTTGGCTTTTTTTTTCATGTCCTCCCATTACGAGAAAATAATTTGCACCCCAAATATTCGAACCCATTGCTCGAGGTCCCGCGGTGTCACCGCGGAAAAGTCCCACCATAGTCTTCTATTTGCTCATCGTGTACTTTTCTTTTGAATTTGGACTTAATTCTCCCAAAAATGTACCCCAATCAAAGGCATTGTTGCAGTTATATATTGGCACAAAATAAATACGATTTGGCTTATTTGTTTTCCTTGCATATCTCTAAGTAGTGAGTTGTTTGGCACACTCTCTTCTTTCAGATTTTGTTTTTAGGCAAAGGCAATTTTTTGTCTATGCAAGTTAATATATTCACCGCGTAAAAGATCTTACACCTTATTTTAGTTTACAAGCATCCTCATGTTTCGTGTGGCCTTGTCCTTCAAAATACTTTGTAGCATTTAATAATGGGGTTCTGAATTTTCTTCGCACAATAATCGTGATATCAATCAGGCTTAAATTGGAATCTGCAATTGCGTAGGCGCATTATACAATGCCCTTCCGTTGCTACGCTCACTTAAACCGTATGGAAATGAAAACTCGATGCTACTGAAGAGTGTTTTGAGTAGTCAAATGTGCCTTTTGAAGTCTAGAATTTCGGAAAATGAGTAGTTTAGCGTTCCCTTATGCGTTAAGCCACTTTGAAAATTGTGACCAGATTTGTGCATCTTTTAATTATGTATGACATAATCTCGACCTCGTTTATGTTAAATTTCACCTTCGTTCTTGGATTTTAATTTCTAGGAATCAGACCTTGGCTTTGAAGCTATTTCGTCCAAACTCACAGGCTCAAACGTCTTCAAGGAGTCGTGGCAACAACCGTTAGCCCCCCTACGAAAAGCTTCCTCGGGTACCCTTGTTACAACTTTCCTGCTATGACAGTACTCGCGTATTTCTCATTTTAATTCCTGCACCTCACATTTCTGCTTGTCCTGTCACATTTGCCGGAATTGAGACTTTAATGCTTGAATCAAATCCGCGAATGGCTGTTCTTACCATTTTTAACTTGCAGGAAAGATTTCCAAGTCGTCTTCCAGGAGCGATTCACTTCCCAATCCATCGCAGACTATCGCCAAATCCCCAGCGTCTTCCTCCTTCCAAGCGCCTCCCTCATCTTTGCCCAAGGTATGCTTTTTAATGCACTACTTTTTGTCGTTCGCACCTGCTTTCTCCACGTGTCCACGAATCTCTATGCGATTTTGGTTAGTATTTAATCGCTATAATTTGATGCTACTCTGTTTTACAATAATCATTCATTTGTGTACGAAATTTCGTGGTGGTTGGTAATGAAGGACATTAAAACACGTTTTGACGCTTCATCACGCGCATTGTAGCTGTCCTTGCTGTTAATAATGTCATGCAGATTTTGTGCAAATACACCAAGTGCGTGTTTATTTTGCAGTCTTGGAGGATAAACACGAAAAAAAAACTAGTGGATATTTATGAGGTCAAATGTGGTGTACCTATACAGAACCCAGTTAATTGTCCTTACAGCGTGGATCCATGCTCCATCGTTCGAGTTCGCTCTTTTCCACCTCCTCCGCGATTTCTGCTGTCGTGCCTCGTCTCTCCTCCCTCATCCACTCGGACAAGGTGAAGGCCTCCAGCGACCAGTGCAACGACAAGGACAAGGACCGCCCAAACACCTGCGTTCTGGGTCTGCGCAACAAGGTGGGCCTCTCGTGTTTCAGTGTGAAATCGGACAATGAGGCATCCATCGTCGCCTCCAAGAAGACTCATTTCTCCAAGTCTGCCACTCCTCAGCCGACTAAAAAGTCTCTAGTGAGCCATGTTCTTTTGTCTACTTACTGATAAACCAAGTTTTTGACTATTTTCAATGTCAATTTGAATTAAAAGCATTGGCTGCTCTCTTGTGGAATCTGCCAAACCTGGCCAATCGTAGACCGAAGACCCTTGGGATTCGCATTGATTTACGAAGTCATGCTATTTTCTTAAGCGTATGAAGATATTTATATTTTCCTCCACATGCTCTGATCTGTAATATTCTTTAAATCAACTTTGTATTTCGACAAGTTCAGATTTGTTCTAAATTAGTACTTGAGTATGTATTAATAGTCACAGACAACCATTTAGTACATCAATACAAGTCTGTATAAGTACAAACTTCTATTGACTGTTGTTGTTGTTACTTTTTGTGTCGCACAAACTCTTCGTGTCGGGTGCTTTTGCTCATAATTGAACTTTCTTAATTAATTTTCGGACAGAATGCAATATATTTTTATTAAGACGAACAAGCTATTTTGGCTGGTCAGTTTCATTAGGTAAACATAAATCTGCTTCCTTTAGTTCCTCCAAGTATTAGTTGGCTGTTACTAATTGGACAAGCGTCCAAAGAAGGCGACATGCTGTTGACATTGAAGTTCGATTTTCAGGTATTTTTTATTCGATTTCAGGTGCCGGAAAAGCGTTCTACAACTTCCTTGTCTGGGGAAACAAAGTCAGAATTTAAAAGTGTTTTCAACGCCCTTATTTGATTATAGCCCTTTTCATTTTTCTGTCACCATTTTCACACGGGCTACTCTACTGATTCTTGCTCTGTAATTTGTCTATATGTCACTATTTTTTGTAAACGTATGCTCTTTTATTACCAAGTGGCCTTGTTCTTTTGGGTGGGAGGGGGTGGTTGCCACGTCTTGTTATTCGTCTTTTAGTCTGCTGAGTTAAATCGTCATTGTGACGTGTCAGTAGGTTTGTAGTAGCTTGTGGTCTAGTACTACCTTACAAATCTCTAGTTAACAGCCCATATCGACTCGAGAATGGTATAAAAAGAGGCAACAGAGGACACGACCGTCTATTAACGTCGCCCCAGCCAAGTGTGGATGGGTTAACGGATGAAAGGCGCCTGATAACAGTAACCAATGAAAAGGGGATGAGTCATTGTCACCGTCAGGTCAGTAAGGAGGGTTCACTCAGGCGTGATCGCTGTTAATCCGCTACAGTTTTCCAGATAGGTCCAAACAATCTAGTTTTTTATCTAAATTTGTCGCCCACGGGCTTTCTCCAAAAAAATTGGCTTCCAAAATCCGTCACAAGTCGTGTTTTGCTCGATGTGGTCTTCGGCCAAATTCCGATTAAGCGACAACAGTCCTTCTCTTGATTTGCTCCTCATCTCGCCACTCGTAACTTGGCTCCGAAAAGTTTAGTCATTAGACAAGGGTCTTTTTGGTGCTGTTTCAATTCTCGTTTACATGTTTGCCATGTCGTACGTTCATCTTTTAGAAAGTCGTCTCTAACATACACTTAGAACCATTCCGTCCTGTTACCTTAATACTCGGAAAGCGCCACGTGTTACAATCAGCGTCGCGGCATCCTCGCGCTTTGCTTTTATTCCTATTGGTTGGCCTAAAGTCTAGCGCTAATTCTACTGGTTAACGATTTGGTCACTAATTTCGTCATGTTCACGATTCTCGGCCCAAACATTTGGCGCAATGGCTCGACTTAAAGGTCGGTTCAACGCATCGGCGATGTTTTTCGGGGTCTGGAGACTAATAAAAAACAATATTTTGATGCTGCTGACTATTTTGTCGGTGGTTGTTGGGATTGTCTTGGGCCTGCTACTCCAGAAGACTAATCCAAGTGAGGATACTTTGTTCTGGATTGGTAAGCAACCCTCTTAAAACTTTATGATAGAACTCGCTTAGTATTTCCGCTTTTTCCCTCTGCCATTTTGGCCCAGGGAATCATGTTTGAAGTATGTTAAAGCATGTCCCATTTACTTTTATTTTGGGTCACTTTTATTATACTTCGTAAGCTATCTAAGTCTATCAGAACTTGATTTCCAACGGGGTATTATTATCTTCACTCGAGAATTTAGATAAAAATCTCAAAATACAAATAGTTTTCTGTTCTAAAAGTTCAATCCTTTGATAATTTGTATTGGCCTTAAATATCCACATGTGAAAATTTCAATGCCTTAAGTCGGACCTCAACCGTCGATAATGGAGACTTCTAAAATGAAACGATGTTGGTGGGTTAGGTGCCGCCTAGGTTTGTTTGAGTAGGCAAGACTTGGGTCTCTGTTCGCTAACCTCAACACAAGAGAAGTTGTATTCGTGAAAACCGGTTCTTCAGGTGAGCTAGAACGGAGGCTCCGCGCTTCTGTACAGATGCTGTTCACGAGTCTAGTTATCATCATTTTAGAGGAGCTACAACGTGTCGTGTTTCACAATGCTTATGCTCGTTTAAAAGAAGCTCGATTTACATGCGTTCTGCAGCCTTTATTTGTGTTCCTATTAGACACTAACCCTCCCTCCTCTAGTAGTTTATTGCTAAGAGAGTTTATCTTACAAATTCTACGTGACTCGACAGGTAATGGTTTGGCATGTTTGATGATGGTGATCGAATTCTTGTCTCGCACTGATCTGCTAAATTTTTGTGCTCCACGGCCACAACAAAACTGATCACGACGTCGAATCATGATTGTTCTGAGTCAAGATTGAGCTAGTACTTCAGGATTACTTCTGTTTCTCATATTTTTGGCTGTCCTATCGTATGATACTTGCAAATTTTTTCTAGTGATACAACTACCAGGTCTAAATGATTTAAAACACCTTATTCCATGACGTGAAATTTTCCGTTTCAGCCTATGGAGAATTTCCAATAACTTTCAAGAAAGTGCATTCTTTCTTGATAGAAAACAGTAATGCTGAGTGGAATTTTATTTTGCGCAAAATCTGAATGTTTTAATGAGGACTGACCTTTATCAAGTTAAAGAATGTTGTTTTAGCTTGTGGAAGTCAGTTTTTTTTCAACAACCTAACCACCGTTTTTTTATTCATTATACCTGACATAATGCAACGAATAATAACGGAGCCAGCTCCAATGAAATTTGATCCAATCCGTATTCCCACTTCTGCCCCATAGCCTCTCTAGTGCAGTGTCTAAACCTCAAATTTGTGTACCTGCTCAGCATATTTCCAGGACGCCCACAAACTAGAAGCGTCAACAGTCGAAATCCCAGTGTAGAGGTGATTCATGAAATGAAATCCAAGCCTAAAGCATTCTGATTTTGCTAGCTTAATCTAAGTCAGTATTTTTTAGTTGATAAATTAGCAAGCAGAATTAGAGCAACATAATGTGCTTATTACTATTTTGCATTGCAGGCATACCAGGGGATATCTTTATTCGGCTTCTGAAATTGACCATTCTTCCACTCATAGCTGCAACAGTCATAATAGGTATGTTTCTGCTAGTGCACTGTGTGCTTCCTGTATGACCTCCGTATGGGTAATCTTTCACTCAAAGTTCAGCTGTGAAAGAGAAATTGTTAACTATGCATTTAGGTATCTATTGTGACTGACCGCTACTGTGTTGAAATGAGTTTTCCATCATTAAAATGTTCTATTAGTCACAATAGCAGTAAGAGTTTACCTCGAAAATCGTACCTATTTTAACTGTGCTATTTTGGGAAAGTAATTCCCACTGCGACTAGTGACGCAGTTTAATTTTAACGTGACAATTATTGCTGCATTCACTCACTTAAGTCATTGATTTAGTAATGATGGAATGGGGAAACGCAGCCCACTTTGTTAACCAGATGCGCATAAAATTTCAGTTAACTGTTTTAAGTTGTTAGCAGTTGTACTAAATTCAGAGATGTAGATGCTTTTGAATGATGCTTTCATAATGATTAAAAAATGAGCATTTGAACAAAAAATAAATCCACTGATGCACCTCTGTTACTCATTATCAAGCCTCAGATGATCGTTTCATTTGGAGAAAAGGAAACTCAAATAGCAGCCTGTGTGAAAATGTGCCGTTCAGTGCGGAATTTCGACACATAGTCCACAATGTGGTGTTAATGTGTGATCTGGCCCCTTCGCTGGGTGCCACTCCCGCTCCAACGCTCAGTATGCATTTGAGCTGAATTTCACCAGCATCACTTTCATTCATTTGGATGACTTATTGTGCCACGTCCTTCGAATGGCCAGTTACTCGCTAAATAACGACGCGTTTTTAACCGGTATTGTTCGGCGTTAAGGCTTAACACTCTACGAAAACGCTTAGAAGTCTCGTTTACTAAAACGCTTCACTTGTGAATTGGGTCCTGTGGCAAGCTTACAGCTTCCACGCGATGTTGAACCGTGCTACATGGATAAAGGTTTAACTTTGTCCGCTTGTGCTCGCTGCTTGACACGAAGAGAGTCCCATCCGTCATTGTGCCTTGTGGATTAATAGCAGGTAATAACTCAGAAACGAAAGTGATTCATGTCCTTTTTTGCTTGCCAACTTGGTCGAAACATCGCATTTTGATTTTCGAGTCATCCTGTTTTCGACAAGCACTATAAAATCACACAATTATGGGCTTGCTTTAGTAACTGCAACGCTGGATCCAAAGGAAAATGGGCGGATCAGTGTGGTCGCATTCGCATTCATTGTCACGTCTAACGTTACTGCGGCGATATGCGGCACTGTAGCAAGCTTACTTCTCAAACCAGGTAAGATGAAAATTGAACGTTTATGTTATTTCGTTGATAAAAATACCTTGCATTGCTAGCCAAACATCATGCGATGAGCTTTTTCTCCGTGTAGCGATTGCGTTTTGGGCCTTCGACTCCTAATTAAGAGCAACCTCTAAACGGATGATTCTATTAAAGATGGATCATGCTCCGAATTCAAGGTGAAAATCGGTTCAAATTCTAACGCCTCAAGTTAAAGTCTCCGATACTTGAGCACCGCACACCGATTTATGGAAAATATCGTCTGCATTGATGATAGTAAAGCCAGTAGTTGTTCGCCAAAAATGATCTCCCTTTATTTGCATACACGTGTGTTAAGGTAGCCGATGCATTCCCCCAAAGTTGACGGCACAACTAACTAGGTTGGGGGTACAAACGGGGACTGAGGTAATAAAAAGTACTTATGAATTATTAATATTGTAAACTTTTAGTGGAAATGGGTTTGGACGTGATGGTTACGGATAAATTCAGATTCGTTTTAGAATTCCCTAATTTGAGTTAAGTAAATTGCTAAATATTAGCAAACCATGGTGCTAACTTGTTATATATAATGACAGCATAAATATTCTCCACTGTTAGCGATTTTTGAGTCAAAAAGTGACGCTTGAAGTTGTTTAAGTGGTCAGGATGACAGTTGGTATCTATGCAGTGACGGACACAGCTTATCTGTAACGTGTTAGCTTATGGGTTGATCTCATCTGAGCAACCTGCACAAAAATGAGGTCAGTACAGTGTCTTTTTCTTTCAAAACAACCCATTTGAGCAAGCAGTTATTAGATTTCGCGGGACCCTAATTTACGCACAAAAGCAGTTTCGTCAAAACCCAATTCGATTTTGAAAATGTTTATACTTCATTAGAGTCTTCCTACTGAATCGTGTTTGAAATTTGGGCATTGAATCACATTTAATAGGCTCATTTTCGCATAACTTGAAATGGCGATTGACCACGAAAGTGTCGGTATACCGTCACGCTTATGTGATTGTCACTTCCACCAAGAATCACTTGTGATTAGTCTTCTTGTCCTCGGTTGTTAAATTGACTACCTAAGTCTGAGTTCTTGGTTTACTTGGCCAGACACTGGGAAAACACTTGAGGCTACTTATTATAGTGACAGGTTCCATTTTACATTTTCATCAACGCTTTTTCTGAGCGTCCTATGGTGGTGTCCCATGTTGTTTGCTTGAACACTTAAACATCGAATTTACTAAAATATTGCTACCGTTGCCACCCTATTTGTACACATCTAAGCAAATTTATTTAAAAATCCAAACTGAACCTGGAAATATATAAAAAAATCTTTGATCATCGTTGCGTAGTAGTGCAATTGTGAAGATATTTTTGCAAAAGTAATAAATAACCCCTATAGCGCAGTTCTTCTGCTAAGATGATGTGGGTAAGTTATGTGTAATTTTGTATCTTACACGAATATTTTAATAATAATAATAATAATTTAATCGGAGGGGTTAGAACGAAATTTGGGAGTGCCAAGTTGACCCATGATTGTCCCTTTTTTGCAGGACTGTCAAAATCCACGAACATTTCGTCAGTAAATCAAACCTTATTCACGGAAGTTCCCCCCAAAACCTCTGATATCTTCGCTGACCTTCTGTAGTAAGTTCTTGACATTGAAGTCCAGTTTTGGAGTAATGACACCCAGGAAATTTCGCCCTTCATCCTTTTGCCAACCCAACGATAATGTGAGCCACGAATCCAGTCTGATGTAACATCACTTAAGCACTGTAAACTGACTCAAAAGAAAATGAGCTCGTTTTACGCCTGCATGGCATGTTGAAAGCCATGTAGCCTAGACTAGAAGTTGTTTATACATACACACACATTTTCCGATTGCTGAGACAACAGACAGTGGAGTTTTTCAATATGTAGGTTTTGTTTTAGACTGCGACATCTTCATGAACAATCTTTAATATGTACTCATCGTGAACAACAATATAAGAATAATTACAATTAGTAGGTTAACAAGGAAAAGTAGTCTGTGCTTGAGAGTTAAAGGAAAAATGTTTGCCAGGATTTGTGAGCGTGTTACCTTGAGTTTGCTCTATGACAGAAAGCAATTGCGGAATGCCGTTTTCTTAATGAGATAATGTGTCTAGTTTTGACGGGATTCCCCATTTAAGATTTGTTGCATTATTTTTCTTGACTTTTTAGCAACCTCTTTCCAGATAATATCGTTGGAGTATGCCTGTTTCAGGTATTCTTATTTTTTTACTCTATGCGTACTATTTTGTCCTCTGCCAAACAAATACACCCATTCAGAGTTCACATATGTATTGCTAGTAAGAAGTGTATTTTATTTTGTATCTGTGTTACACTGGATTTTTTATTCCTACAATAGAACGAATTCTCGCTACTCCTTTATCAAAAATTGCCAGATTTCCAGGCTATTATGCACCTGATTTCCATCTGGGGTTTCTTGTTTTTTTTTGGTTGTCGATTTTTTGGAAAATTCAAGTCCCCGTTTCCATAATTTTATGATACGCTCTTAATTCATAGAGCGTAAGGTCAAATAAGTAAAGTTGTATTGCATTGTTATGATGAGTATTGCTTGGAGTACTGGTCTGGGAGTAATTTTTTGTTAGTGTTGATGTGTGCCCTCAATCTCAATAATAATGTGTTCTGCATATCGTGTCTGCACCCAATAGAGGTATTTATAGGTTCCTTTCTGAAAACGGATAATAAAATCTTGTAAAAACAACAACAACAACGTTTTTTACTTTAATTATCCGACATTTATAACTTTTCTAGCACATAGCTGTCGTTCTCTCAAACAACTTTTAGTTACGAGACAAAACTACACCTATAGAATCTTCAAACTTTCATTAAGATTGTAGTGAATCTAAACTGACCGAATTACTCAATAAAATACAAGTGAAATAGGACTTTATTACACAATCTTATGTCCGACGTATAAACTTAAGGTTATCATTTGCAATCATGCATAGCATCGCTCGATAGAAATATGTTTTTCTACTGATTTTTAATGTAAATTAATAATTAGAATTAGGATGTCATTTGAGATAGCCAGACATCTCAACTACTTCTGTAATTAATCGAGAACACGTCATGACCACTCACTAGAGCCAAGAATTGACATTAATCTTTTATCATGGCAATCGTTGCAGTTGCCTGTCTCTAAATGGTAAATGTAAGTTAGGCAGTGGTGAGTGCTGCGTTCTCTTCACTTGTTCGGAGGCTGGAGGCGTTGGTTTGGTCTGACAAACTGTGACCGGTGCTTTTAAACTTTTTTCAGTCACGAACATCTTACGTTGCCACTACTCTGGGAGCCGGAAACGAGGCGTTGAAGAGAACCTTTAAAAACATCGACTCTGTTAATATGCTGGGTATGTGGCAGTTGATTCGATGTTTTCTTATCTCCAACTCGTCTTGATTATTGTTAAAGGAACTAACTGCTATTTTTACCGTGCTTTGTCAATTAACCTCATGTCGATGTTTGTCAACTGTGCTGATATCCAAGTCTGGTTTTAAAGTCTCAACAAATTCGAAAGAAGACCACTTGTCAGCCGGTTAAAATTTCGTACAGGTGATGAAAATGGAGATAGACTTCAACCCCATTATGTATCGTACACTTGTCTTGGCGACTATATTACATGACTGAACTTATGTCTTTCTGTTGGCTAATTCGTAAAGGAGTAATAAATAGCTTCAATTATTCAATAATTAGGTAGGAAAGTGGTCTCAGTGTCAAATAATTTGCCATTCACATCGACTAAGAAACCACTAAATTTGAACAGTGAATGAAGTCAGATTATCAGGTCGATATTTTTCTTACGGTTTATAATGACGTAGACTTTCATGTATTCTCATCATCTTATATTCATAATGCAGTGAGGTGAATTCCAGGGAAGAATCGAAAAACCCAAAAATCATTTCAACTGTTTTCGATACTTGTAAGTAATACCAGCGTAGGCAATAGTGGATATACGCGCCGAAATCGAAGAACAGCGAAAACAATCTGCCACGGTATTAAATAAATACATATTAGGACAATAAGTAGAACAAACAGTAAATGTATACAAAAATACAGTAACGTGCCTTTAGTGGGGACGTTGAATAGTGTTCCAACAAAACCAATATAGAAAGATGAGGGGTTTAAATAGAAATGACCTGACAAATGTTACAGTACTGCTTAACACCCATTACTCACAACCAGTTCACGCTTATGTTAGTAGAAATTTGTTAAACAAGCTTGAAAAACCGAATCCTTGCTAATTAGTTCGCCATTGTAGTCTGCGTTGCTGCAGCTTCATTTAAGTCCAAAAATCAGTCAGACTTCGACTGCAGTTAAATTTCTATGTCCTTATATGAATGACTAAGGGGAATGTGTGAACTAATTAGTATCTAGTGAAAGGAAATTCCAAAGGTATCAAAAATCCCTTTTTTTGAAATCGCTCATGCAAGCATCCACTAATAACGCTCCACTGACAAGCCAGTAAAGGATCATTGACGAAATCTTCATGCGTAAATCTCGAGCTACTCATCATTTTGAAGGTCACACGGTAAAAGGCTTTGACTCGTCATACTTGCCCCTGCAGATTGGAACACTTGCAGGACAAAGTTGACATTTTGCCGCCTAGTGATAGGATGAGACTGCCACATGATTAGATCTGCTCTTCTTAAATTCAAAAGCATGTTTTCGCTGTACTTTGATGTTATCTTTTGCAACGCAGTTTGCTGCAATTGAGCTGCCGTGTTTACATGTCACAGGGATTTGGTTTTTTGTAGGACTTCTTTTCTGCTCCTTCGTATTCGGGATCGCTGCAGGGAGTGCGGGTGAACAGGGGAAACCATTTCTAGACTTCTTCAAATCTGTCGTGAAAGTCGTCTTCAAAATAATGAATATTTTCCTGCTGTACGCATCCCATTTCAACCCTTAGTTCGAATGCTTTTGCAAGGGCTTTAAGTAGATGGATGGCTGTTCCTAACATGACCTGTTTGCCCTCCTGGCCATATCTACGATAAGGATGCTTGTTCAACATCTAAGTCTGTCTAGTGTGTTCCTGTTACGTTTTGCCAGTAATCAGAACCACACGCTCAACTAATCAATATCCCAGATCCACTGACCTTGACCTGAAGGATCAAGAGAGGTGAGCCCAGATACGGGGGTGCCGTGGATAGCCGACCACTTCAACCGGCGTGATTAGGGAGAGGTGAGGAAACAACAAGGAGGTCCTAATTAGCGGTGAATCATCTTGGGGAATGTTGGTCTCCTCAACAGTTGAGCTGTATTCTTAAAAAGAGTTTCCTCAGTTGTAAGAAAACGTGACTCAAATGGTCATACACTTCTTCGATCTAGTCAATTGTGCTCACTGCTCGACAACATTGATTCACGGGGCCATATTTTTAGCTTGAAGGTTTTTTAACTTCATCTGAGTTTTGCATTTTGACTGTTAAATGTTGAAAATATTACGCAGCAAAGTACATAGTTGTGGCAAAGTGTGTTGCACAGAAAGTGCTTGAAGCGTGAAAAGCAAAGTTAGTTACTAAAACAATCACCACGTGAGTCGATTTATCCCTGAAACGCTTCACTAAAAATCCAAGAAGAACTAATGATAATGATTGAGAACGCACACGAAGTTGTGTTGAGGCACAACAGAAAGTGGTGGCCATGAGAAAGTGACTTTGTCCCTATTGTTCGCAAATGTGGCAAATTTTTATCCGCTTTATCCTTCGTTAGTGGTGCTATAATTGAATTGTGATTTGCCGTTTCAGCTTTACTCCCGTGGGGGTGTGTTTCATGATTGCCGGTCCACTTGCCAGTGTGCGAGACCTTAGCAGCACTCTTAGTCAATTGGGTTTCTTCATGTTCACCGTTATTGTGGCACTCGTTGCTCACCTGATCATCATGTTCTCACTCTACCTGGTTGTGGCCCGGGCCAATCCATTCAAGCTCCTTCCCTACTGCTTCCGCACGTGGCTCATCTCCTTCACAACACTGGCGCCGTAAGTTTTCTTCTTTCTTTAAAGGCGAAACGAAAATTTTCTGGCCCTCATTTTTCGGTAGTGAATACGTCGCAAGCCACTTCGCTTAACTTTTTCCCTTTCTGGTATTTTGCCCCACATGAAACCTTTGTCAGAGAGTTAAATATTTAACGTGATTTTATTCGCGGATTATAGAGGCCTTTTGTCTTGTTCGTAAACACTATTATTTGTTTCAAGACCCATATCACACTTGAATTTATCGCTATTCAATGTGCTTTTTGCGAAAATTTCAAAGAATCTTGTTTTATTAACACACAACAGAAGGCCAAATTTGAAAAAAAAACCTATTTGACAGTCAACGCTGGGTGTGTTTTGAAGTAGCAATAATTGCATTCCTGGGCCAATTACGCTTGCGACACACGCATTCCATAAGACTGCACTCAAGATACGCATCCTCCCAAATATTTACGTCTGGGTGCATTAAGTTCACGCTGAATTTACGTATATAAACACGTGCACGTGTGTGTTCGTATGTAGTCTCGTTGCAAACAAAGGGCTCAAATATTGTTAAATTTTGTCGTCTTTTGACCTCTTTTGAAAAGACAAGCCACTGAAGTATATTTACGGAACATTTAGCATCGAATGATTGAATGACGTGTAACTTACATTTATTATGTAGATTTCACATACGCCCACAGTGTGGCTTAACCTGCAAGGCCTTGGTACCGAATTCGTCACTCTCGTTGCGTTTACCTCTTCGAATTCCATCGCTAACCACCGTTTGCTGGTATCTTTTAGCGTGGTTGCCATTCCCGACCTGTACAAAGCCAGCGATCGCTTTGGAATTGACCACAACATCTCCCGATTCGTTGTTCCACTGACGGCGGCTTTGAAGGGTGACGGATCAGCTGCTTTCCTTGGTGCCTCGGCTATCTTCATCGCCCAGCTCTCTGGAACCCCCATAACCGCCGCTTCCGTCGTCATCGTCGTGTAAGTGAATTAGTGGCCTTTCGTTAGCAAATAATCAACCCAGGTGTCAACTTACGTAACTTGAGCCACTTAAAGGGTGTTTGTTTGGTGTGTGTTTATTTGCGTAAGCCAATTCAGTGCATGGTAGATATAAGTTATGCCTTATAGTGATTAATTTTGAACAATAATCTGCGCAGCTAAAATTGATACATTTTAGAAATAGGACCTCACTTTTTCCAGGCAACGGAGCCCAACAAATGCTATTAGCAAAAAATCACAACTAACCGTTTGAACATTTGGATTTGGTATATGTCCTACGTCGGTGTTTAAGAATTATCTCCATGCAGCGTATGATCTTTCAAAGCGCATTTGCTTTTATAATAAAAACCATGTGTTTTTTGCAGGCTGTTAAGTGCCTCGGCAGTCTTCGCGATCCCCAATATTCCAAGCTCTAGCTTGGTTATTCTGGTGACGATTCTTTCGTCTCTCGGTGTTCCCGTGAACTACGTTGGCTTGCTCTTTGCTATCGACTGGCTATTGTGAGTGCTAGGACCCATGATGTTAAGATCGGGATCAAAATCTTCTGAACTATTTCATGCTCGTTGATTTATTTGCTTGGACATGACTGACGAGAATGAGAAGTTAAATCAAAAAGAGCAAGTGAGCACAATAACTAGTCTAAGGTGATATTAATCCTAAACCTTATGTCGCGTTGGAAGTATGTTGAGAGTAGCAAAATCTAATCAGTCACTTTTCTTTGTTAACACCTTTTATGACTCATTTTTGACCAATATTCTACTTTGAAAACTCCAATTCTATTTTTCTGGACCAAACAAAATCCGCTTGTATTGCTCGAGTCTGTTACACAACTTGGAATAGTGTTAGAACACCAAGTTGTTACTTTACGGTTACCTCGAGGCACTTTGTACAGACATTAGTGTATGAGTAATTTGCATACATAATTTATTTGACGTAGTTAACACCCCATTCCCATACGGTGAAATATAACACTTAACGCATCGCCAAAGCCTCAATCTCCACTCTGTTACTAGGGACCGGTGTCGGACCACAAATCTCGCCGTCTTACACCTCTACTGTGTGGCGTTCACGCACTACATTTGCAGGAACAGACTGCACTCGAAGGTCCACCAAGTCGAGCTCACATCAACTGAGGTAAATGGGGAATTCCCGGCTTCCAAAAAAGAGATCGACATTGAGCGCAACGCTGACAATACGCTCCGCGTTTCGGATGCTCCAGCGGTGCTCCACTAAAGATTATACAAATCTCCAGTGTAATTGTGATTTGGAAGCTATGTCTATTGAAATTGTGAAGTGCACTACTTCATGTCGAGAAGTACACGCATTTACCACCGAAAATTACGATGCATTATAAAATCCCGAGGCTTAAAAGCCAAAACTCTCGATTTATTAAAACGCTTTTCATAGTTTTCGCTTGGTCTTGTGGAGTCATGTGATGTGTAGAAATACTTTCTGTTATCTTCACAAACCTGGTCAAATTGTGTGGCAAGTTTTTTTTTTTCATTATACAATGATATCCTGCTGGGCTAGTTAGTGATGATCAGGTTTAAAGCCAGATTCGGGCGAGTAACTGTTAAGCTCCTCGGACAAATACCCATCCTCTTACTTTAAACTAAAATCTCGATAGCCTAAATATGACTGTGGATATTTTCTTTAAAAGAGTTCAATGATTTTTTTGTGTTTCGATGTTATCAGGTGAATGTTCGCTTGGTAACTAAAACACGTTTTACATTTGCCTCCAATGTTAAAGGCTACAAACAACACCCCCAATATAATATTCATTGAAATCCGTTTACTTTGGACCCCATAATCTTTTAAATATGAGGTTCTGGTTGCACAATAGTGGGGACAGTGCTTTTGAATCAATTTAGCTAATGAGCGCCTGAAAAAGTCGTGCCTTATACGTGAGGTGTGGCCGAATGGGCCCTCGGTCGTCTACCTCAGAGCATTGCATGGACTCGAAAAAGTGCGATTGTTTTCCGCCTTGTGATATTAACATCTTTTAAAATATACCAAAAAGAGTGCTGCAATTGAATTATTTACACCTGGTCGAATGAATAATTATTTCGAACAATGAGTACCGAGAGAAACTAAACAAATACCTCCTTTTACACTATTTTTGTTAAAAAAATTGACGATATTTTTTGCAGGTCATCTTTCATGTCCAAAACAAATCCAGAGCTAACATACCGTCAATCCATACTTGCGCAATCCAGCTTATAGTAATTTTGGCAGTTCAGCATTTCATAATGTATTTGCAGCACAAATGAAACGGGATAACCAAATGCTATGAAGCCCCTTCATTGCGCGTAAAATAAGCATCCGAGTCTACGAATTTGGCTGTTACCTAAAATAAAGGACGTTTATCTTGCGGGTCTTGACAAGATATCACACAAAGCCCCTCTATAATTATTTGAGTTGTTCAATTCTCAAAAGGAAATCTCTACATGCACCCTGATTCGGCAGATGTAAAACGGAGAATTCCCGTTGAAATGAGCATATAAACCAAAAAATAAGTTGAAAGTATTTAAGAAGTTTCTCTTTATTTACATAAGCTTGTTTTGAATATTGTTACTCATTAAATGTGTACAGCACTGCAATCACATATCGGTAATGCCACACACTATAAGAATGTTGTGGCGCCACAAACCACTAACTACCCAACAAGGATGAAGTCTGCGGAAGGACAGAGAGTCAACAGTTTATTCGAGAACTTGACGAAGCCGTGGTGGTGTGTGGGGTTTGCGCGTGTGCATTTATACCTCGGATGTGTGAGTCATACATGCGCTAACATCGAGACCTAGGCGTGAGGATAATCCAAAATACATATACGTGTGAATGAAGAGGGAGTTAAGGATTTGCGCGGCTGTCGCCATGCTGCGGGAAGGGGAGCCTTGTGTCGGAGGTGGAGCGATCGGATTAAGATGTTGAATAAACACGATTCACAACAGCTCTCTCTCACTTAGCGAGAGGATTTGGCGAATCTTTTCATCCACTGTGGTTTTTGAAAGGTAGGCCGTAGGTTTCGCGCGATTGTGATGTCTCCGTCAAAGAACCCGAAAGGGAGCTAAAAAATGTTGGGATCGAGAAGTACTGCACGCCACGCGCGATCGACGGTAACCTATCTGTCCTGCGACTGTTTTCCTTTCAAGATGTATATCGATCAGGCCAACGAACGCGTCTGCTGGAGCATGTAGTGGTTTGAGCCTTTTTACCGTCGGAAGAGATTGGAGTTGGTTGCATCTGAGGCTTATTGTTTTGCGAGGTCTTTATGTCAAGGAAGGGTGGCTTGAGTTGGTCGACAGACACGGGGTCTTCTTTCCCATTGTGGTCGACGATGAAAACCTTTTCTTCTAGTCTGAACACTCGGAAAGGTCCGTCGTCGATGAGCTGAAGTGGTTGATGAAAACGTGGGTGCATGTAGGCAACTCTTGCGGGGTGAGCGAAACAGTGTACTGTAGGTGCGGTTGTGTAATTTTCAGTTAGTTCACTGTCTCTCTTAATCGCTCGACGTAGTTGCATGGGTCCGGCCATGTTGGTTGTGAAGTCGCGGTGAAAAACTGCCCAGGTAGTCTCAATGTTGTTCCGAAAACCATTTCAGCAGAGGAACGCTTTAAATCTTCCTTGACGGCTGATCGGATTCCGAGTGACACGAGGGGTAACGCGTCCGTCCAACAAGATGGGCCACTGTGTGCTGTTAAAGCTGCCTTCAGTTGTCGATGAAAACGTTCTACGATGCCGTTTGATTGTGGATGGTGGCGGTCGTTCGAATGTGGTTGGTCTCCAAAAGTCGTGTGAGGTTTTAAAACAGAGCTGATTCAAACTGAGTTCCTCGATCTGTGGTGATGGTGGAGAGGACCCCAAATAATGCGATCTATCCGTCCACGAACGTTTTTGCGACGGTTTCGGTAGCGATGTCTTGCATTGGGAATACATCTTGCATCGGGTTAAGCGGTCGACGCAAGACAAAAGGCAACGGAAACCGTTCGATTGCGGTAAGGGTCTAACAGTGTCAACGTGCACGTGATCGAACCTAGCGTCGGGAACGTTAAAGCGTCCAGGAAGAGTCATGCTGTGTTTGTCTACCTTGGATATTTGACAGCTTACATAATTTCTAGCTCATTGCGTCACACCGCGATTCATAGCAGGCCAAACATTACGACTTGAGATCAGCTTCCGTGTTGCCCATTGGCCAGGATGAAAAAGGCTATGAAGGACTTGGAACAATTGGCGTCGAATTGTCTTAGGTACGAAAGGACGGTGCACACCCGTTGCAATGTCACAGACGATTGTACGTGTGGAGGAAGGAAGGGGACCTTCAACCAGCTTTAAGGCTGTGTTTTGTCTTCGGAACCCTTGCAATTCTTCATCAGATTGCTGAGCGATTGCCATATCCTTGAAATTCACATGCGCACCTGTATTTACAGCGTCGATGTGGGAACGGGATAGTGCATCGGCTACCGCATTGTCCTCGCCCTTATCGTGTCGAATGTCGGCTGAAAACTGTAAAATGTAATCCAAATGTCATGATTCCCTTGGTGATAACCGATCCGAGCCCCAACGGGTGGCAGAGGTCAGCGGTTTGTGGTCCGTGTAGATCGTGGATTGTCGACCCTCAAGAAGATATCTGAAATGCTTGACTACGAGGTAGATTGCCAGAAACTCACGACTGAAAGTGCTGTACGCTCTTCATTTTCATTGAACTTCGCTGAAAAATAAGCCAGTGGATGAGCTGACCCGTTGACGGTTTGCTGTAAGACCGCACCAGCTGCCTACAAGGACGCGTTGGTTAGGAGAGCCAGAGGGGCATCTGATCTTGAATAAACTAGTGTGGTTGTTCTTACTAAGGCTTCCTTTGTAACCCTGAAGGGTTGACGTGCCACGTTCGTCATGATCAGTTTCTTCGAACTTCCTTTGAGTAAGTTGGTCAGAGGTAGTAGGGTCTGAGTCGCTCTGGGAAGAAATCGACGGCGGAAATTAACCATCCCCAAGGAACGTCGTAATTGCTTGATGGACTTTAGTTCCGGGAATTTGCGAATCTCTTTTACCTTGCTGTAGGTAGGCCTTAGACCTGAAGCGGAGACTGTGTGTCCTGGGATTTCGAGTTCAGTAACGCCGAACACACACCTCGATGGGTTGATAATTAAGCTGCATACATTGAGGCATTTGAATACAAAATCGAGGTGTTTCATATGCTCCTCTTGATTCTCACTTGCAATGAGGGCATCTATGTACGAAAACACAAAATCCAGACCACCTAACACTTGATGGATGAAACACTGAAAGGTTTGAGCTGAATTTATTAGGCCGAAAAGCACTCTCACGAATTCAAATAACCAGAATGGCGTTTCAATAGCTGTCTTGGGAATATCAGAGAGTTCTACCTGAATCTGATAGTAGGCCCGCACCAAATCTAGCCTCGAAACCACAGACTCTCCGTGAAGATTGGACGAAAAATTATGGAGATTTGGTATAGGATATCGATCCGGATTCGTGATGGCGTTTAAAGCACGATAATCACCGCATGGGTGCCACTCACCATCAACTTTCTTTAGAACCATGTGTAGTGCTGATGATAAGTCGCTATCTGAACGTCGGACTATCCCAAGTTGCAATATATGGTCGAATTCTCATTTAGTCGTAGAGTATCTAGTGGGAGAAAAACGGCAAACTCGGAGGTTAACTGGGCGACCATTTTTTAAGATTTTGTGTGTGACTGGGTGTCGAATTTCGGTTTGACTGTGAGTTGGGTTGATCAAGTCTGGGTATTTTCGAATTAAAGCTGAATAGGGTCCGTCGCCCTTCTGTAACGTTTTAATCTGAGAAATGGCTGACGGTGTTCGCAAGGGGTACTTGACGTTAAGGCTCCTTAGAGGATCTATTAGACGCTTGTTCTTGAGGTCGACGAGTAGACTAAAGTGTCCAAGGAATTCTGCGCCTATGATAGGGTCGATGACGGTTGCGACGGTGGGAACCCAACGAAATTGTCGTCAAAGTCCTAAGTCGAGTGTAAGAGATTTCTGTCTGTAATTAGAAATTGAGGAGCCATCAGCTGCTGAAGAAACCATGAAAGGGTTAAGGGCTCGTTTTTCAAAGGGACTTGGGGCATCACAGATATGTCTACTTCTGGGACAATCAAGAATCGTTTACCCGTTGAAAAATCAAACAAAATAGACAGCGGTTTGTGTGGCCGTCGGCAGTGGACGCTACTACTACTGCGCGCTTAAACATGTCTGAAAGTCGTAATTGAATTTTTGTTTTTTTTTAGGGTAAGCCACGTTATTAGGCTGAGCATCTATTACGATCCCCTAGCTTCTTCATACTGAAAGCTAACTTACTAAATGATACGGTGGAGGATTTTAAAGGTTCTAAAAAATTTCATTGATTTTCATATTTGGAAAACGTGTTTTTGACTATGGAAACGTGCAACTGTCAACTTTTTTATTGTCTTATTAACCTTTTTAATATTATGGTTTATAGTTTTGTTTACACGTTCGGTGTGCATCATAACGGACTCATGCCATTTGATTTTTTTTAAAATCCGTTTGCAGTCACATTAAAAAAAAATAATTTGAATTTTCCATAAAAAAAGACCTGTGTTAAGTTAATTACATATGTAAAACTAATTTGGTACAAATTCACTTTTCTTAGCTTCTCAGTGACCTTTAATGCTTTTAATGCCCTTTTCACCAATATCACTATGGTTTCGTCTGTGTTAAATTGAATGTCAACTTAAAAAGTGGTTTGATGTAATACACAAATATCGAAATTTTAGACATGTCCGATGAGGCGTTCGTCGTATCCGACGGTTTGAATTCTTTAATGTCACACTGCGAAGAAGACAGCTCATGTTCATTACCTTTGTCACTTGAGCAGTCCGAATTCCTAGGCTCTAATTCTGAAAAACATTGTTCCTTAACCAACGAAAGCAATGTGTCAGAATTCAAAACGGATAAAATTAGTAAAAAAAACTTTATGATATTTCATGTTTGTAGTTCTCAATACAAATAATGCATTGCCCAGAACGGGAGTCAGTCAAAAGCCCTGGTGTGTGGTTGTCCAGATAAAGTTCCCCTACAATACCATAATGATAGTTAATGACTTACCAGAGGGTTTACCATTTGATTTATTACGACGCCTTATTGCGGAGGAATGCTGTGATCGTGTTAAAAATATAAAACTTTATTACGACGGAAAATTTATAAAAAGCGGAATAACACCAAAGAGACTTTTTACAGATCTCAGTGTTGTTCCGGAGATTGATTGTCGTTTTAAGCATCCTTCTCAGACCACTAAGATTCATCTAGGAAAAAGGACATGCAAGCTCTCACGCACTGATGAGGTTTCAGTCTATATTTATAAGGGCTCAGAAACACATAAAGATACGCAGATGGATAACCTAGAACTGATGATTGAGAAAGATGGTGGTGACCCTGAACCTTGCATTGTTCAAATCAATTGGATCCCTGAAAAACCAAAGAAGCCATTTTTGGGTGGCTATAAAAGGAAATCAGATCAAAGACTTTTCCATCACGCCACATCTCAAACATTTCCAAAACCAATCCGACTCCCGCCTGTGCCCATCTTCTCACGCGAAACACAGACTTATGAATTGAGGCATGCCAAACAGGATACACTTCAGCAGGCCTCAACAGCAATGTCGAAACCTGGATTCTATGTTTCGAATTTGGAAGACAATGTTGTTTCTCCTCGACCATATGAAACTGCAGATGATCTTGAAAAGCGTCGCAATCTCTGTGTGAGTTACTTAACCCTTGGTCGTACAGTTTTAATGAAAATTTCTTAAATGTCACTCGTTACAATCACTGGCTAATTACAATGCATGTGAAACAAAGGTTATTGTTGGATTTTGGTTATGAAAAATTACCTGTTTTGTGCTTAGTGAACCATTCCTGAAAATTCTAGTCCCCTACGATGTCATGTATAGTGGCTTTATATGCCTCGTGAACTCTAGGTGAATAGTAGCATGAAAAGCACGTTTCCAGCCCTTTGGCTTTTTACAAACATTATTTAGGCACTGTCACATTGTTAGAATATTATATTGGTGTTTATACAATTTGTATTTTAAGAATTTTTTACTTTCGATATCCAAGCCCCATTTTCGTTGAAAAGTGCTGAACACATATTGATTTTAAACTTTAATTTCATGAATTCAACGGAAACAAATTTTGGATCACTCTCTGCATTTAAGTGTTAAAATATCATAACATGCTATATTTGGAAGATTAATAAACGTTTAAGTAATAAATAGCAAACTTGACTGCCAGTTGTGAAGATGTCTACTGTGAAAACCATGAAAACTTACTACCTTCCATGGATGCTGGCTGATAGTAACAAAGTCGCATCTTATTTATTTTCACTAAGTTAAAGCCATGCTTGAACCACCAAATTCTGAATCCGATCTTCAGTTACCATACTGCTTTCTCCGTTCAAATGAAGCAGTCTTGGATGTTAGACTTTAACAAATTGACAAATGGGTTTTAGCAAATTTCGTATGTTTGAATAAAAGTATTTGCATTCAACTCTTATGTTGACACGCCAGGTATTTATATGGATCGCACATTAAAATTATGTGTTTTCGTTGTTTCATTTGTAATTTTTAGCGAACACACAGTATTCCTCATGTTTCAGGCCCTTAAAATTCAATGCTGCGTCAGGCGGTGGCTTGCAAGGCGTAAAGTAGCTCGCCTTCGGAAGCTGCGTGACGAATACATCAGATTTCTTGAAGACAAGGAAGCTGAGTACCAAAGAAGGAAGATAGAGCGATTTGATCGTGACTATGACCGGAGAGTGCAACCTAAAACCCGGGCCGATTTTGACCGCATGTTTAATGCTCTCGAACAATGGCGCAAGGGTGAATTTGACAAGATATGTGCCACTTCAAGCAATCTGTCAACTCAAAAGGCAAGATTGGGTATACTTGTTGACAAGGAAGTAGAACTTATGAAAAGGATAATTCAACAACAAATTAATATTTCTAAATATGGCAAAATGCGAGAACAGGAGCAGTATATCGAGAAAGCTGCGACCACGAATCGGTGGACATCTGCGCATGATTTGGAACCTGTTGAAAAGGATACTCCAGCCACATTAACTGCGAAGAAACTCCTCATTTTGTATGAAAATCTTAAGTCAAACAGACTTAATAAGACGGAGCGGATGGACTTATTACTTACAGTTAAAAAACTGGCTGGAAGTCACCCTTCTACACTGAGTTGCGATCTAGTTTCGCTGGTGGAAAGGGAGACTGAGCTAATGCTGCGAAACATCCCATCATCCATGCTCGCCGGTCTGCGCAAGCGTATCTTACATCGGTTCATTCAGTTCTGCAAGAATCCAGAGTACAATCCTGCGGTGGCTCCACACCTCCCGATTCCAGACAAAAGTATCCCTGATTCGCATATCAAACAGTGGGCTGACACACATCGGTGCATGTCATGCGGACGATATCTAAGAACAAAATATTTTGACGTCAGCGCGCGGGCGACGCATCTAGACGTCTGCACGTTTTGTTGGCGTCAAGGGAATCGTGGGCGTGACCGAATAGATTTGGATCCATACCGTGTGATCCTTGAGGAACTGCGGAAAACAGAGACGAGACTGATTATTGAAGCAATAGAAGCCAAAAAAATAGAACTGTACCAAGAGTCACTAAAAGCTCTTGATGACGCCGTAGAAGATCAAATCTATAGGAAAAAATTAAATTACTGCCTCGCCTATAGACCAGAACTTGAAAGGAGTAGTGAAAATCAAGAACCTTTGACAGAGACCAAAATTACACCTGTCTCAGATCGCTTGGATTTGCTAGTAAGTGTACAGGACATTTATTTCCTCGTGAGCAAAGTATGGGACAGTCGATCCGCTCTCTCTGGATGCTCAGACCTGGGTGAACTGACTCTTTGTCGGTGGAGGGTAAATGAACCGTGGTCACCGTGGAATACACTTCTAGTGACGCAAAAAGAAGCTGAGCTGCATTTCAAACTCAAAGAAATTCCCCTCGAGTCACTGTATGCAGACGCAATACTAACGCATGTGCGTCAGCGGCTGGTGATTGCCAAAAATGCGTTTATGAGACTGTGTCCAGTGGGACGCGTTCTGACCCGTGAGCGATGGGAGCTTAGAAATTTGTTGCGCAACCCCGAGGACACCAAAGAATACCGGCAGCTAAGGCGACGCAAACTGAAGGACAATGGTGTGCCGCTGTACTTACTGACGCTAGAACAGCGACACGAACCATCTATCCAGCCACCTGATGTCCTAATGCCCGTTATTGATGGCTACCTGCAGATGGAAGATCTGGGAATTAAACATCTCGCGGAAAAGTGGCCTTTACCTTGAACTGCCAGGAAGTAGTGAGAGTCAGAAAACCCCATGTCTGAATGAGAGATTAAAGCTCTGGTTTTCAATTCTCGCAAGCTTTCTTTTTTTATGAAATATTCAGCAGTAAATTTAGTACACATATTTCTGTAGTTTTGATTGTGCAGTGGTTTGAAACCATAACAAGTGTTTTTTTCGCCAGTGCACTCTTTGGTTGTTTACTGTTAGTTTACTAGATTAGCCAAAATGCTGCTCTTACTGTTTGGATTGCGACTGTAGTTTACGCTAGGTAAGAATATTCGTTAACCTCCTGTCATAATGAACGTTGGACGCCGTGACAATATTGCAATCATGAAAATGCTAGTACGACCAGTTCTACAGCGCTACTGAGACCGCAGTGCGTGAGCTCTTTGACATGGTATCGCCGCCTAGAGTTAATTTATCATGGTACACTTGGCGAGCTTGAAATACCAAGGATACAGTTTGTGCCGAAAGTCTATTTTGCCACAACTCGTAGTTCTTCGTCAAAAGAGCAAGGTCAATTTTTTTCCATAAATATTTACGAGTGTTTTGATGGCGCTTGACAACCACAAGCAAATAAATGCCAAAAAGGACTGACAGTGTGTCAACGGTTATACGGAATGTTCCTGCTTTGTACATGTGCCTAAGGCCTTAAGGAAATTTTGGTCTTTAAGTTAATCTGTTCGTGCGTAATGAAAAGACTGCGATGAATCATTAAGGCAGATCTCATGGCGTTTCGAGAAGTTCCTTTTTGCAGCCATAGATCAAGTAACAAGTTACAACAAAATGACAACATTTTGGTGTTGGAGTCACAATTGGAACGATCATAAGAGTATGAGGACATAAATCTAAGACCATCGCTTTAGAAAAAAAGTAAAAAATCACAAAAGTTGTCAAAGAAGAAGGTAACAAGGCGAGTTTTTATGGCCTTGTGCTTCGTAACTTAGTTTTCGCAGTTGTCGATTTGACCGCTGGACCGGCTACATGCCTGGAGTCTTCCTCAATTCCTGGGATCCGATGGGGAGAGCGAGGTGGTCGTTCTGCTGCGGCAAATCGGCAGTTAACCTGTTATTAAAGATGTTAATGAAATAAAGACCAGTAGCCGCTTTCACTAAGCGTGTGTGAAAGCCAGTTTTCGTTCCTAACTTGAGTTTACTTTTCCTGCGTGGGAAGCATCATTAAGCTCAATGTAGACAGCCTATTAACTGTTTCACTATAGCGGCAGAATGCGAGATTAGCATCAACCTGTTGCGATTATGATTTCGGTGGCCCCTATAGTTGAGTCAGATTCCATTTACTCACAAACCGACAAAAAGCCTGTAGTTGGAAAATTTCCCTGTTAAATAAATGGAAGATCTCATCCCCATAAGCAATCTAACTACCATTCAGGTAGGCTGATTTTAGCGCTCAAAGCTAGCCAGGTGGAGACGAGTTTTAGTCAAGTAAATTTCTTCCACTGTGTTATGAGGTTAACAGGTATCTCCCTTCACTTCTAACTTTTACATTGGGAACCATTTGGTGCAGTTTGCCTATTGTGCATATGAAGTAACAGTGGACGTTTTGGCCAAGCGACAAAGAGCCTGGACCGTCATAAGGCCAGAGCAGCCCCTGTAATCTACCATTCACAACTACTGTGGGGTATTTCAAAAGCCCAAAACTTTTACTTTTACGAAAATGTACATGACAGCAGGCATTTGCGTGCGGGTGAGTACGGTGAAATGATGTCAAGGTCGAAAAATCACACTGTGTGGCCATGAGTTCGAAAATGCGGACACAAGCAACCTACATAGACGAACAACAAATAGAAAAATTTGGATGGGATGCAGACATATTAATTGATTCCAGGTACCAACTACATGAACCTACCTTGAACACCGATGCCAGTCTACTTGGGACCGTCATAAATGAGGAGCACTGGTCACCAACTTTAGCCGACTTGGCACTTTTTTTGATGGACAATTCATTTTGTGGTGTTTCGGCCCATGTGACTTGTTGAACGAAATCGGACAGCGAAATCGGTTGCCCCCCACGCAGCTTCTCTTCGTTTTTCTTAATTTCATTCAGCTTACAAATCTTGTTGCGCAGTGTGGATCGTGGGATGCCGTAAATGCTGGCGGCACGTCGGGTTCCCAGTTGGCCGGAGCAGATGGCCTTGACAGCCGACGCCAACTCCGCGGCAGTGTACGGTCTTCTGTGGGGATATGTCGCTCTCTTGCCGTCAGCTGAAGTCGGATTTCGTGGAACTAAATGACATGGCATAGTCCCTTTTAGTTCCGATCATCGTGTCTAGATTTATTCTTATGCGATTGAAAATGCGGCCAAGCAAACGCTTACTCAATGTGAGCACGCTCTAGCTATGACTGTCTGCGTGCCACATCACATTCACCTTTCAAAATTCAAAAAACAAATATCCCATTTCGCAGGCCACCTGCTTTCCTTTCTAGCTTTTTCTTGGTGCCTCGAGGTCTTATGTGCCATTTGTATTTGTTTTCTGTAGGAACAGATTTTCACAGAAAGTGCTGAGACATACCACAAAATTTAAAGTTAGTTATGATAAACAAACTACTCTTGGCACTACGAAAAGATTTAAGCGGAATTTATATTAGTATTTCAAATCTGAAACACTAACACCAACCTAGAAGATAGCTGTGATTGATGGGGAGATTTGTGAACCAATCAATAATCGATGTATTAAGACTGCAGAAATACCAGCAGTTTGCAAATAATTTTTTTTAAACAAACCCCTAAGTGTGCATTATGATTAAGTTTGAAAAAAATAAAACCGTTTAAATGTATATTATTTGTTCTACTTGCACAAAATAAGTAGAATAATAGAAATAACTAGAATAACGAAACAAAAAACGTTGTCTGGTCAGGTTAGTTTGAGGCATTTTCGAAAGTTTGTGCCTTTATATACAATGATACTTAGGAATGCTGACAATTTCGAAAGATAAGGGACATCTAAGAAGGCCGCTGTTCCTTCGCTGGCACGAATTTAGAAACAGAGGCTCACTTTAAGGGCACCTGACAACTTTACGGGGCAGTAGAACAAAACTATGCAGATTCACTTTAACATGATCACTGTTTCGCATCATCAGTGGGTGGATTTTCATCAACTCAGATCCTGTCGTTTTTTTTATCAGTGATTGGTTGCAAGCAGAGGATTTAATTTACTTTTGTGCATTCATCCTTCTGAAGGAAGATGCGCAAATTTACAGCTAGGCTGCTACTGAAGTTTTTCCGGTTAATGGCATTCTAGTTTATTCCAATCTTTTTAAGGCGGTCCAGCCACCGAAGTCACACGTTTCTAAAAGTTTGAAAATTAATTCGCTGGCCGGTGACTCAGGAAATATCTGCAGTGTGTCTGAGAAAAGAATTCGCACAAGTACACCTTTTAATTTACCTTATGTTATTACTACTATTAGACTGGTACTCATCTCATTTTGCTTACAAACCAAAACCCCTTTTTCGAATGTATTTCGATAATGCCATTTTGAGAGAGGATAACGCACTACCAAGCCCTTCCCAGTTCTTAAAATGTTTGCTGGACATACAAGCATGCGTATTTAGGATGCAGTAAAATCCTTTCGTGGAGACGCATTAATTTTGGGCGAAACATGGGGCTCTACACTGGAAACGAAAGGTGCGACCAAAATAATTCGCGTTCTCTCTTATTTATGAAAGTCACATTGAATTAACCGTGAATTCAGGTCATGAGATTTGCGCGAATTTCGGTCAAGGTGATTATTCGGTTTCTTGCGAAAATTTGATTTGTGCACTCATTTCTTTAAAAAAAGAAACGTCTGCGGATGCCCATTAGAAAATCCGGAAAACCCTTTAAGTTGCATTTTTAAGTACATTATCGCGTCCTGATTATGCAATTATCATTTTTATTCAATTCTACTACAGGTACGGGACTTTTGTATGAAAGGCTTTGTACTATTTTTGGTTCCACTCAATGGCTTTAAATAAAGATTTCTTAGTTATGAAAGCTAGCAAGCAATTTTACAAATGTGAATTCTGGGAAAAATTCTATTGTCTCTTATAATTTTGGTTCTAGTTTAAACATTCCTCACGAAATATTTCTTTAACACTCTGATCACTCAGAGAGTCCATTCTAGTAAGCACCCCTTCCAGTTTGCATTTCGTGTCACTTTAACTCGCATTCAAAAGAAAATCCATCAGAGGAAAATTTCTTGGTTACTGCGAATACCAGACGACAATTTTACCGAGGCAGATTGTTGTGGGTTTGTTCCAACACTCATGGACCCAGTACTGGGAGACGCAGGGTGGTCTGTTGAAATTCTTCCTTAAGAGAAAATGGCGATAACACATATCTGAAAGGACGCTCATTGATCATTCATTGGTATAGTTCAGTGGCTTAATGTCATAGTTTCACTGACGAATTCCCCGAACTCAGCTCACAAAAAATTCCAGACCTCGACTGAATCCTTAAGCTTACCCTTTATTTCCGTCTTTGCCTTTTTGGAGACAGTGAAATAATTTGATGGATTGTGAAGACCAATTTCGCCTGTTGTGCAAGTATGGCCGGTGGTTAGGCGCAGGGCGCCCGCGAGACCACTTGGTCTATATTAATACACATGTTGAGCCAATCACAAAGTACCTGGTCGCTTCCACCGTGTCTCGAAGAATCAACTTGCCGCCGATTTCGTCTGCTGTCAAGGACGCTCTGATCAGGCCGGTGATGTATTCCTGTTGGCAGTGGCTAAATGTTTGCGCTAACAATTGATTCAGATCGATTTGCGATAGGTGCCCTGAAAGAGAAATTACCCGGCAGGAATATATAGCAATCGATCGTCATTTCGATTTATTAATACACTTATAAGATGTGGGCTTTTGACTGTGCAGCATATTAAATCTAGTGGGAGGGGTTATTTTGTCATTAAAATTTGAACCACACTCTCAAAATTCCATTTAGTTGAACGTGGCAGCCCTTTATTGCATTTCCATTGCCAAACTTACCGTTGACCTTGAAGTAAGTTGAGAGCACTGCCGGAGGGGGTACCGGAACGTATTTCATGAAACCGAGATTTGGAAAAGTGCAGTCAGTCTCATTTTTCTGTCTGGATTGTCCAGCTTGTAGCCAATCATTGCGACCTCCAATCTCAGCGACAGATCTTCCTGAGATGTCTGAAATTATTAAGCGATTTTTTGTGTCCTTATGGTACAAATAACTATCTCGAAGATCTGCAAACGATCGTTTTTTATAGGAACCCGCCAACCAGCTGAGGAGTGCCTAGGATGGCTTGCCCTAAGTAAGTCAATTGAAATAAGTCTAGTGGGTTTCACATTCACTACATAACAATCAAATAGTATACTGATCTTACGATAACAGCTGTTCGTAGGAGGGGCGAAAACCTATGGTCCTAAGCGGACGTTCGTGGTGACGAAAGACTTGGGTGATAACCACTTAGGTTTTTTAAGGATTAAATATTCACAAGAAGTATTACAGACAAAGCTGTTTCAGTTGTAGTAACTCCCTATTTCAGAAGAGCACAGAATCTGGTAGTATTTATTTTAAAGACAACGCTATTTTTTATTCATCTTGTTATGTCTATGGCGTCAAGACCAAAAAACTGACTGAAATAAGGAGTACTAGTCTACCACCAAGTTGACTACTCGACACAACCCGCAGTGAGTTTTGTCCCCACACATTTAGTACCCAGCTTGTGGAATGTGGCTAATGGAATTCTGGCGAGGTCATCACCTGAGGCCATGGTTTGAGCGGTCTCGCTAATGTTGCCCATGGTCTGAGAAGCCAAACCCTGTTTATGAGCACGTTAACCTGAAAAAATTTATTACTTTGATAGAGTAGGCTTAGTGGCGCATACCAATCGTCCCCCCTCTCAATGAGGTGTTGGCAGTGGTAAAGTTTTTGTGTCCTAACTGACTCAATGAAGAGCTGCATCAATGCATCCCTTAGTCTCCACTCCTACACTCTTCTCTGAGAGGCTTTTTTGTAATTTCCTGAAATTGATAATTCAAACACGCTTAGACAGTTTGCCTGGGGCTGTTTAAGTTAATAAATCGAGTCGCATATTTTAATTCCTAAATTGTTAACAAATTCGGTTTCCTTTACCCAGAACAGCACTTAAATGTCATCTTCCTCAACAAAAAAATTGGTGTTTCCATTTTGGGGACTGAGTTTGTCTTCAGTGGACCAGTACCGCCAAACTTGTGTGTCATGTCCATATAATTATCGATTTTTTACATCGCAACGCACTCCGCACGCTAAATAGGGCCCAGTGTGGTCCCATGTTCCAAGTAAATTAGTTTTTGGTGAGGTGTTGAATTGAAAATTGCGGAATATGTGGTTTGGAATTGTCCAATGCCAATGGATTTTAACTATGTTGTGAATCGTATTTATTCAACATCTTAATCCGATCGCTTCGCCTCCGACACAAGGCTCCCCTTCTCGCAGCATGGCGATAGCCGCGCAAATCCTCAACTCCCTCTTCATTCACACGTATATGTATCTTGGATTAACCTCACGCCTAGGTCTCGATGTTAGCGCATGTATGACTCACACATCCGAGGTATAAATGCACACGCGCAAACCCCACACTCGACACAACGACACCAGTTTCGGTTGAACTCTGAAGTAAACGGTTGTGTCCCGTCCTCTCTGGTCTTCTTCTTCATCGCGGGTATCAGGCAAGCTTAATCGGTCCAGGGTTAATTCCGTGGCCCCGGCGTGGTCCTAGGACCACATGCTGGGGCCCACAACAATTGGTGACCCCGACTGCAAATATTCTAAGCGAAAGTAGCTAGGCAATGTTTCGCACATGGTGGACAAAATCAGTCTCGAAATGGACGGCTTCTCCTGCCCCAGCAAACAGAGTCCACGTAGACAGACTTTCGATGTGCTGACAGGTGTTCGCGGGCTAACAAGCTCCGACATCCACTTCGCGCCCACACCGTCGCGCTCACCTGGCCAGCAACCGAGGCGAGAGTGAAAGCGCGCTAATTAGCCGCAACGAGGCAAATGTTACAATCGTGCAATGTGCTTGGTTGCGTGTGGCCGCCTTGGCCAACCTTCGTGGAAGCGTCCTGGGAACAAAATCGGTCTATGATTAATTTTGCTTCCAGAGCAAAGTGCAGCACATTTCACGAAATGCATCGGTTCAGTGATGATACAGTTTGTGGTCAGTAATGCTGGCTAGACCCAAAAATGGCATTCATACATCAAGAGAGTGCCTGGCTATCAACATCAGATTAATTCACAATGACTTTTACGCTCTTCGACGTTGTCACAATTAAAGACGGTGGCTGCTTGGTGAACCTGTAAAGTAACCACTGAAATTCAGCTTGAAGTCGGGGATAATGACAAGGGCTCGCACAAACTGTCAGTAAATTGGGAAGACCTTCCACAAACGGGCCATTTATCTGCTTACGTCAATTTATAAAAGAAGACGCATGTGGATCCACGACATTGCCAGCAATCTGTGAACAAAGTTCACGCCACGCCCATACTTGCATCCCTTTTGTTATTTAGACAAAAATCGTTGAGGATTCAAGTATCAGTTTGAATAACCATTCACAACTCCGACTGTTATTATTGCCAACGTTTAACTTGGCTGGTTAAAGCAGATTATGCTCGAAAAACGCCTTTCTGATTTAACAAGCGTACGAGCATTTCAGTCGTTAAACATTTCAACAAACAATAAGTTCAGACCTGCAAGTGGAAACACTCCAAGGGAAGAATTTGAGTTTAGGTTACGTGACTAAAATCACCTGCTGCTAAAGGTTAAGCCCTAGTCAAAGGCGACTGTGTTCTTTGAGTTCGACCATAATGGGTTCGTGACGTGCTACCAGGTGAGAATATTTCCCATAACAACTTCATTGATTAAGTGGGACTGACAGGTTAAGTTGACTTACTCTGCTTTTCAGACGTGGAATACGGCTTTGGCATGCAGTCTGTCGGCATCCCGTTTAGAAACCAGGAGATCCAGTTGTTGCAGATCATCGCTTCTTCAGCTCCCAATGACTGCGTGAATTGAGTAGCTGATGGATCCCCTGTTGCTGAGCTGCGTGACATATCCATGGAGGAACCAATAAATGTATGTTGGTGTCCCTGGTGTGAAGGGGAGGAGAGTGTACGCACTGCGTTCCCACTCCCCTCTGGTGGTATTGGTCACCTGGTGTTGACGCGGATGCGCACGTTTGGGTTTTCAACCAATTAGAACTCTGGCAATCTGAAGTAAATATTTTGGCACTAATTTTTGGGAAATAAACCCTTAAAAAATATGATCAGCAATACTGATTAGTGTTATTGCTTTCTGTTCAAATATAAACGGTACACCATCAACCAATTCAACTTTGTGGATTTGAGATAATTCCTTCATTGTACAGATGCGGTAAATTAATCTCAGAGATATAAGCATAATGAGTTTTTAAAATATTGGTCGCTTAGTTAATCCACTCAACTAAAATGTGTCATGTTATTTTGTCTTCTAAACATTGGAGGTGGACGTTCGTGCAATTATCATTAGACCACTCATTCTTGCTAGAATTCATAACTGCCTTAACACCTAAGGTTGTTTAGTGGCTTTGCTGGAATTGGCATACTTTGTATCCACACATAATGGAAAATTATTCAGCAACGCTTGGTAGCTCTAAAGTTGTCTCTGAGGCTACAATAATTTGTAAATTTTCCCTTGATGACTCCTTACATTATTGTTCCTAGCAAACCTTTACATTGAGCAGATTAGAAGTCAGCGCAAAAAATCAGTGTCCAAAATATCAAACTGTTCATGTAACGAAATTTTAAATAAAAGACTCCCTCACTCATCACTGGTGTTGACAATCGACAAAAATCCCCCTGTTTAGGTTGCCTTCCATTTTGCAATTAAAATTGTGTTGCTAGGCATTTTGAGTAATTATTTCGTTACACGTATTTAAATTGTATCCCAGACTAATTGTGTGTGCTGCTTAGTGCACGGTTTAAGCCGAATGACGGCCACTGTACCCAAGGTTAATTACTGAATGTTTGAAAGCAGTCTCTTTCGCTGAGAAGAATGCGTCGATGCAACTGAATGCCAGGAAGGGTGTTCACATATATGTCCAATGCATATAGACGGTGCGGAAAGTTCACTTTATTGGAAACTAAGAGCACGAAGCACACCGCAATTCTGCCGTTACGTTAAATGCGCCAAGGCTTCGGCCTGCTGACATGGAGCACCAGGTAATTTTTACTACGACAGAAACAGCACACAGCAATACACAATGAAATCTGAAGTTGATGCATAACAATTGCCGTAAACCTTATCTTGCTAGTTCTGATATAGATTTGTTGCTGAAGTAAGTCAGCATATATAAAATAGCTTTTATAAATATGGATTTCATTTTTGTATGAACTGTTGCTGGAATGTCCACCTAGAATTATTTTGTAAGAAACCGAATTCGCTCCAAATCAATTATATCCGTTACAGATGTCAACAATGATGCTCACTGGCTGCGTGAAGTTAGCAAAATGTACAGTTTTCCACGATGCACATTGCGGCGCCTTGTTATCTTCGCTAGATAAAGTCAATCCCGCCAAAATATGTCGCCGATGAGACCAGACGTTTGTCATATCTAATGCATCGTTATTTTACATGGGTTAATGTGAGATAGTAACGTTTTCAGAGACGTTACACTCTGCCACTTGGTATATTTCCTGGGTCCAATTTTGTGTGCACGCCATGCACTCCGCAACCACCAAATAGAAGAAAGGTCAAAGAGGGTTCGGATAATAACTGGCCCGAAGACTCATCGAGAACAAAGGAATTTTATGCAATCTGCTCTCTTAAAAATTCTCCCAGACACGAATATCCGTATAAACAAACAGGGGTAATCTTTAATGAATGTTATTGAGTGAAGCCTCTTTACGCGGTAAAAAAATAAATTATTTTAAACCCATGATTTTAATATTGACGTTTTGAATACTCAGACTAAGTTAACTTTGCCAAATTCACTGTATTACCGTCACCTCTTCGTCACATTTAACACTGTTTACTATATGTATTAATTTTAATCCACAATCGAGAAGTGTTACAAGTCTAGGCCATGGTGGCCAAACATAAAAGTGACAATGGGACAGTAGCAACGATGGTGAAACTTATGATTTTCTATGTTAAGAACTCACAATAAAGTTACCTGAGAGAATGTCGCTAAATTTTGTCAATTTCTGATTTTATGATTCAATAACTATTGTACAACTACTTAGACATGAATAACTAATATTTAATGTTTGTTTCGCAAAAACGAAGGTCTGATTATTATAAAAACGAAGGTATTAATTATAAAAAAAATCATCTATTTTTAAATTTTGGTTGTCATGCACTCGAAAATCTAATTTCTTTTTGAACTACAAGCATCAAGAGCTATTAATACCGCCAACGTATAGAAATCTGATTTTGATTTCCATAACGTTGGGCCACAAGTAAAGATCATACATTTTATTTAATCTAGATGTAAAGGTTTTAATAAAAAAAAAGTCAAAGGTATTTGGTTGTTAACTAATTGCTCAGATTTTAAATGTCACCTATCCTTTGACTGCCATTTTGTTATAGTATCCCATTCTATAGCCACTTTGTGTGATTTCAAGAGGCGAATTTTTGTGGTGTGATTTGTGTGAATGTTTCGACTTGTGTGCTTAGGTACGTCTAATAGTAATACGAAGAACCACTTAGGAATCTTTTGATAAGAATCGGTGCACCAAGGTGTGCAGAGACTGCTTATGTTGATTTTGTATTTTTCATATTCGATGTCTATGTTGAATGCCTTGGAGTGTACTTTTTAAACTATTTAGAAGCTTCCAAAGCACGTGCGTACCAGTTGTTGCCACTTCTGGTCATTTGACACATGGTTTTAACTCACGCAGCGATGTTTGTCATCAATGTTTCTGATACTTAAAACCTTTTGACTGTGCGCTTTGTTGCCTGAGTTCATGTGAATTTACACACATGTCATCGGTTGTTCCGTTTTGGTTTAGCTTAATAACTTTCTTGTCCATCTTTTTGTTCTCGCTGTGGCATTTATAATAGTTAGTGCTTGGTTCCACAACTCACTGTGGCCCAACCCGTTCTACTTTCGAGAAAACTCATCGAACTTGGTGTTTCGTAACCTCTACTTTGTTCTTGTAGAATACTGACGAATGGAAAACCATAACAAGTTAGCTCCAAGCAAAAGCACAGTATATATCTCGAATATTCCTTTCTCACTTACCAATTGTGATTTACACAAGATGCTCGAGCCTTACGGACAGATTGCAAGGTAAGAATGTTTGTCAAAATGCTTTTCGCGTTTTCGCGGAGCATTCTACGTCACTCGAAGCTAGTATTTTGGTTGCTGTTCAAACTCATTTTCAGATCTTTTTGTTTCAAAATGCCCGCGGCAGAGATAGCAACTTGGTCTTATATGACATCCGTGTTAATACTATCCGTACGGCAATCATTAATTTTATCGGGGTCCTAAATTACTCAGCTTCATAATCGAAACATCAAAACAATCCTCTACGTAATCTACAATTTGGCCGAGTAACCGTTCAGTTTGGTTTGGTTTCAGTTCCACGCATTTCAAACCTTTAGCACATTATAATACGTTTCCATTGTGTCTGAGATTAGCGACCATGAGCAGTTGTCGTTAACTTGCTGAAAGTGAGTAATTGTTTCTTTAGGTCCGACCTTTAAGAGGACAAAAAGAACTGATTTATTGCCTTTAGTAAGCACGCTATTTTGGAACTGAAGGTCTCGTGTGTTTAGAATATATCATGTTTTCTGATAAGTTTCAAAGTGTCCACCGCTTCGCTCACGCCCGTAATTGCCTGTCGTAACTAAGTGCTTAGTATCAACTTGGGCCCAGTAAAAACGGTACAAAACACTTGTCTTTTGTGCTTACAGTGAAGTGTAACGGCTTTCTAGTCTGCTATGTCATATGTCATCATCCATTTGAAAAGAAGAATGTTCCTCTACACAATGCTTTGCATTATTCCATCTGCAATTGGTTTAATTGCTGCCTACACTTACGTATTTGAACCAACTTAGGATCCACAAATCGAACTTGAATTGTGGTCTTCGCCATTGACATGTGAGAACCGCTCGTCAGTTATGTGAAAGTCGAATCTTCTTTCTTTTTAGAGTCACTGTGTTGAAAGATAAAGTAACTCGTAAGAGCAAAGGCGTCGCCTTCGTTCTCTTCTTGAGCATCAACGATGCCCAGCAATGCGCTCGCAAACTAAATGGCTCCGAGGTACGAGATTTTTATATCTGGCGACAGTTTTCGCCCAATTGTAGTAAAGTATTGGATTGTTTCTAGATACTTGGCCGGACGATAAAGGCGTCAATTGCTGTGGACAACGGCAGAGCTGCAGAATTTATCAGGCACCGAGAATACCCCGATAAATCTCGTTGTTATGAGTGTGGGGTAAGTTTCTACTGTGTTCTTCTCCAGCAACTTGTTTTCTTTTAATACTTGGCTCAACTAGCCGTGGGATAGGTTTGGACACATTCCAAAAGCATTTATGAAAATTCACTCATTATTCCCGTTTCTCGACAGCATCAGTCCAGATTTATTTTTTGAGCTTGTTATCGATATGCTAGTTAGAGGAAATTCGCCCATTGTCCTCTTGTGTGTGGTATTGCACTAGCTTGAGCCACTACAAACTCACAACCTTTGCTAAGATAATGCAGCACGTGGTGAAAGCTAGTGAAGTAAAGACTAGCAGCGGTTGCGGCTTTGTTGTATTCTTCTCACCGTGCCCCATCCAGCACATCTCTTCTTCAGAAAAATGGCCACTTAAGCTATGTCTGTCCAAATAACGTCTTTGGTCCGCGGCCACGCCCCAAAGAAAAGAAGAAAACGCCGAAATCTCGCGGACAACAATCCAAAGCAACTAACTGGTAAGTTGTGCCTTTTAAAATACCGTGTTCTACCTCAATAACTGGACACTAATTATTATTAAAGTAAGGTTAGTAAGGATATTCTGGTCTGCTCATGCTTTTGCTACTCATAAATCCTGCACTGTTTTGTCGTTTTTGTGCATTAATCTGTGTAAACTTACGGAGCGTCGGATTTCTGTTCAGCCTCTGTGGAATTTAACGGCTGTTTGTTCCTCTAAGAATTAATTTTATAGTCTTAAAATGGTCTCTGGTGAAAATTTTGAGTCTTCTAAACTTGATTAATTTATTGCGTGGGCTTTAACTGGACTTATCAGAGACCATTTTTTACCGCAGATAGATGATGCGTGTATGTATGTTTGTACTTATCGTTCAATTTAGTTGTAGTTTTTAATAATAGCAATAATAATAATAATTAGGGTTCGGTCATATCTGAGCCACCTTCCACGTACCGTATGTTCTGAAAGTCACGAATGAAAGAAGTAGTACCCACTCTAGCCCCATAAATCCATTTCCAGTTCTGTAAAACAGCAGTGGGCCAGTTGGTAGAAGAGAGCAATTTAGTAATGAATGAAGAAAATTTAATGATATGCCACTTTCCCCGATTGCTGTAATAGCGCACCGTTAGTTCTCCCAGTTACATGTCACTGCAGTTTCCATTGCCAAAAATGCGCATTTTTTCTACTTGACACTGTGGTATAAAATAAATTGATTCATTTACAAACTACAACTGTCTATTCCTCAACCACACGATATATCAATTGCGTTTAAGTCATTTTCTTCGTTTTGCTGAGTTTCACTTAATCTAAATCAACAAGTACCTGGTGTGCTTTCACAAAAGTGGAGGCGAATTCATGTTAACTATCACACACTTGAGATGTCCAGGTGGATAATCAAGAAAAGCCTAGTTTATGGAATTCAATTATTAGGTACTTTGGAAATAGTTTTCGTTGAGAATTGCAAATATTTTGCTCATTTGCACACGCCTTCTTATAAATTCGATTCGTACGCACCCGCATTCATCGATTTCAGACCACCTCTCTCATAAAGTTGAAGCCAGGTCGTGTTGTATGGCTTAATACTACCTTGAAGTCCTAATGACTGTTGCGCTTTTTTCATCGCTGCCTCAGCCCACGACGAGAGCCCGGCAGTCCCGAGGACGATGAGGGGAGTAGCGTGGACCACCTCGACACGTGGAGTGACGTGGTGCGGTGCCACGCGTCTCCCCCCGTGCACTCCGCCTCAATCCGGTCGCCTCCTAGAAAGTGTCCGAGGATTCGACGCGACTCTTACTTCTCGGACGAGGAAACCTTTGAAGACGACTCTTGCTCCCTTTCGAACCGAACCTCGTGAATACGCTTCAAAGCAACGTGTCTGTATAATATCCTTCCCCATTACTTACTGTTCTCTCAGGCAATGTCGACGTATTTTCTTCAATTTTTTAATCGCATGCGTTCAGGTCATTTATGTTACCTTTAGAAGGGAGGTTTCCGCTTTTTGCTCGACAGAAACACGTCGGTTCGTCTTTTTAAATCGGTGCCTAACACTGTGGCTAAATAGAGTCGTTTGTTAGTAGTGAATTACTGCAAAAGACTGTTGAGAAGCTGTTCCTGAAGCCAACCGTACGCAAACGCAAGTTGAGTTCATCGTGTGTGCTTATGACTCTTGAAGGTGCCCTCAAATTTATCCGAACCCTTTCCCACTGCACGGACTGCGAGGTCCCAAATACTTTTTGCCATTCCTTTCTTTCAAATTTCCTTGAAGTGTCAGCGTGTTCTACACCTGTTTTTCGTGTAAGTTTGCAGAGAAAAAAAAGCACCACTGTATTCTGTGGTCTGCAGTGGATTAGTACTCTCTTGGGTCTCTACCATATGAAAAAAATTGAGGAGAAAGATGTGCTATTGGCAACAGACGCGTAGACAATCGGAGCCCTGTGGACATGCAACGCAAATGCGGGAACTCTTCCCGGTGTTGCCTCGTCCAGGCGTCATGATCGTCCCGGCATGTCCCTTAAGGAGGTCGCTGAGGCCCCTTTAGGGGTCTCCTAATGGCCACACAATTGTCCTGCTGCGTTCTCAGTAGGCGACGGTGGAGGGAAGCCTTGGTCTGTTTCGTCTTAAACATCAGTGCAGCCAACTCCACCAACATACAATTGGGTATAAGTAAGCCCAAATCATCGTTAAAAGTGGCAATTAAGTTAGGGAAGTTGTGTTATACGCATTGTAGTCAAGGCTCAATACGTAGTCTATTTTATGAAACAGATTAAAAGTTATGCAGTGGTAATAAACTGTTGTTCCATTTTTTCTGGAGTTAGTGCTACCGCTCCGAAACGGCGCATCTGGCAGCTCTGCGTGGTTACCTGGTTGGGGGTTGCACAATTTCGCTCTCACCAATGCAGGGCGTTCTCAGGCAACTTAAACGTCTAGTGTTCCAAGGGCGTACTCTTAGTTCCATGGTTTGTGCTCACATCATGGCCTCCTTGTTAGATTTCAGTTGCTTGTGGCCTTGCGTACCTCATCCGCTTCACCCGGGAACATTAGCTGTCTCTTTTCTGGTGTGTTTCTTATCAGTTTCTTTGGGCGGTGGGAGCATACATTGTTTTTATCCTAGGTAAAGTGAGAGTTAATAGTTACTTTGGAAAGTGATCAGACAGGGGAAAATGGGGGCTGAGAGAGATCTTTTACGTGGTGAGTCATCTACTGATCATTGGAGTGCCCCGTATTGTAATACAGAGAAACGAAATTAACTTGACTTCTGAAAGTCTACCTACCCGTGTGAGGTCTGTTCCTAACCATGCCTCTAAGGCATTCACAGCTACGAATCGCTGGTATCGCATTTTGCCTCCCGCTTCGTTTCTCATTAAGATAAATACTTTAGTACTTTTCTAGAAACAGTAGTTATGATTTTAAGTAGTCAGCAATATAATCATAGAGAATGCAGAATTTATAGTCTATTTTTATCTACTTATCCCGCCCATATAACCACTTAAAAGCCAATCAATGCAAAAATCTCGGCATAGTATATCCACATGGAAAGGGATGGGGTTACCAACAGAACCGTTTACCATCCGGAGGGCAAATTTGGAAATAGTTCCGAAAGCGTATTAAAAACACTTAAACACGAAGAAATATTTTGGGTGTGGTTTTTAAGGGAATAACAGGGATTTTAGCCAGACTGGTTTTGAGATGGACACAGTCGCACCTGCAATGAGCTGCAGCGAAGTAGGGGAGATTGCAAAACCACAGCACGTTAAAGGCAATAAAATAAAATAACTTTGTAAGTAGAAAAACGCAAGCAGCTTTGAACATAGTCAAGAGCCTTTGTTAAATTGAAATGCACATTAGTTACCAGTTACTAAGCTCTTATTAAGCATAAACGATAATATCCGCACACTTTGTCTGATATTTAATAAATTTCTACGAAGACAATCCTATCTGTAGGTTTAAAGGTGCGAAAAAATTATTGTTAACTTATGGCTTATTTGATACCTTGGATTTAAAATAACATTATTCGGTAAGGATGTTTAATCTGTGTAATTTGAAAATTTGCAATACAAAATGCAGACTATTTGTTTAAGTAGGTAATGAACACACAAAGGTTATGCCTTAAAACCTGTCGCATCAAAAGCAGGAAGGCATGACGTTGGGAAAAAAATCTGGAATGATTAAAACAAAACATTTCATGTGACACAAGTCGCAATTCCAAGTTCTGGAGGAAAACTGCTTCATTTTAGATGGCTGAAGTCTCTAAGAAGGCTAAGGAACAACGACATCGCAAATAATGCACTAGTGAGTATTTAAAGCTGCAAAGCGAACGTCCACTTTGGACCGCACAATTAGCGCTACCTGGCGATCCACAGGAGCATCGATTTCGGGTCTCAGGTTAGACCCAGGTTCTCACGAACCAGCAGATAGAGTGCACCTTGTGTGCACAATGTATAGCCGTTGAGTTACATCGACTGGTTTTTATGGCGGTGGGTTCGAGCCACTGCGGCGGTGCGTGTTCGCACCTGCGCGCGTGTGGTGACTCACCCAACGAGCACCAAAGTTCGCGAACTTTTCGGCGCGAAAAGTGCCAAGAGCGCGGTCTTGAAATTCGCGGTTCCCATGGCAGCCCCCGAGGACTTCGACCTGCCCCCCCCTCCACCACCGCCAACCCGCTGTGCTTTTAAACAGACACCCTCGTGTGACAATACGATCACTCTGGTCAACCAGTGCTTTTTGGAATGAAAATTTCGGTGATGTGTGACGTCATGAGTCATCGAATGTCCCAGAAAATCTCAAAACCAAATATCAAAACACGTCCTAATGCAATCGAACTTGCATACTGTATCAGGTTAGAGTGTATATGGGGAGGGACAACTGAAACAAATTGACCATTCATCCTGGACTATCCTTTTTCAAACTTGTCGACCTCTTAACTTATCACGCGTTTTAGTTACAAAATGCGCGTCAGTTTGCATCACACTATTTAATTAGATTGCTGCAAATATTCCTTGAATGTCAGAGATTCAGTACATGGCTTTTCTGGACCTCCAAACAGCACAAATTTGACTACAGTTGACATTGAATATTCATGGGGATTAATTCAGTAATGCAGTATTTAGTTGATCAAGACGTCCCACGGACCAACTAACCAGTGACCAGCCTCGGAATTTGTAGCCAAAACCACTCAACCAACGAATCAGGGCAAAGGGGAAGGCATTGTGCGGGGGGCTTTTATTGTCCACGCCAAAGGCAGATTGATGTGTCAGCGTGCACAGCTACCATATCCCTTGAGTGATCCTGATCTGATGGATGAAGAGGGATTAGCACTCGTAAGAGCTGTCAGCGTGAAGTAGAATCCCATTATACGCATTAGTCTTATCAAGAATGATGAAATTTCGCAGATAATACTGACTTAATGGAGCACTGTTAGTCAATGACTTCTACCAACCTCAGAAGGAGTGGACCAGTCATATTAATTAATCTCATTTCTAGTATCTTTTCCTGCAAATACTAATGCTAATTCGAGGGCATGTTAGCTTCGTCGTTGCCCGCGTTGAAAGCAAAATGAATATGTTGGAATGGGACCACTTTGTCAACAGTAGAGCATTTGTATTGATTTCATCCTTCTATATTTTCGCCTGTTTAAAGAATTACAGCTTTGACAAACTCAAAAAAAATATTCGATGCTTTTAAAAATAACTGCAGATTGTGTGATCTGAAACATTTAATTCGGTCGATTTCTTGACTTCTGATAAGTTCATTGTGATTCTGTTGTTTCGGACAATTTTTGACTGAAAAATAGCCGCCTTAGGTCCATGAGCCAGAGCTGTCTCTTCTACATTCTTAAATTCTTTTTCCGCCTCCACCTTGGATAAGCCCACACGAAGTTTCATCGGAACCAGACGCACTGCGGTGAAGCAATTGGATTTTTCCTTGTTGCATTCAGGCACGAACGCAAACACGCAACACCTGCCGATAACCCTTAGCCTGCTTTCCATCCTGCCTCGAAAAAAAATGTTGGATTTTGATACATAGAAGCGCCCTCATTTGTGTTGAACCCCTTTCGCTGTTACTGCAATCGCAACTAGGTACAACAGGTGTTACAACGCACAACTGCGCACAGGTGTGTGCGCGCGTCAAATGCCCCTGTTTCCGATCTGGAAAGGCGGAGAAGAAATCGCGAGACCAGAGCACACACACACACGACTACACTGTGGCTGTGGCATGTGGTGGAGACGATATCAATGCTACTGTAGCCCATTAGCACTCTTTTTGATTGTTCGTTGTGTGCTGAAAAAAACATGAGACAAAGTTTTCGTTCTTCACCCAGGTCAGATTTACTTTATCATAGCGTGAACAGTTTTGGCCATTCTGTAATCAATGCGGAATCCTTTGATTAACTATACGTTGAATCGCGTTCACACGCTTGATTGCCACGGTGTCGTGTCAAATGCGGATTGTCCATGCATCTAACTGCCTTTTAAACTAGCATAAATTGCTTTGCATACTTCCAATGAGGTTAGTCAATAAGTAACCTCAAACCATTTATATTTATTCTCTCAATTAGCTCCTTTTTCTTAATCGTGTTTTCCTCCAAGGTCACTATAGTAAAATAATGACTATGTGTATTGGCGTCTTCGGTGTTGGAACAAACACCAGCGCTGCTCAAAGGTGTTCCAAGTTCGTGGGCGCGCTGCCTGAAGGGCGTAGTTACAGGATTTTTTGTACACAGTTCGGAAGAAGTACTTCGTTTGCTGGGGAATGGACAGGAGGACCGAATGAAGGATCCCGATCCAACATTGATGATGATGACCAGGTGGAACCGGTGAAAATAAAACCGCCGAGCACACAAGCGTCTGCGTGGCTAACTGTGTTACAAATTAGCAATGGCTATAACCAAAAGCCACCAACGAAACTCCCGGATTCAAAGACCGATTATGGGCTAGATGTCTGAATGAAGGGGTGCAGGCGGCTGTGTACTCAAGTCTCGCGTCTCAACCTGATGTGGATTGATTAATGGACAACTGGCGAGATGCACTGAAAGCAACAAAATTAAATGGTTTATCGATTTTTGCAAAATTTAGGCCGAAATATATTTTTTCATGAGAGGGAACGATGTTTTGCACCCACTTTTGTGGTTTCCCAGTTGCGGTGATCTCCAGAAGGGGATTCGCACGTCTAAGCCGGTATACACGATGGCAAAAACACAACTTAACTTCCGTAAAAGTAAGCATTTTAGTTGACCACTAAAAGGAGTCAGTACTCGAAGCGCCTGACAAATTTCACTACAAATGGGCTCAATTTGATCATCATGAAATCGGAACTAACGAATTTACTGAATTTAACTCTGACCACCGTTTGAAATGTCTTATTTTGGAATGAAAGTGAAATTCTTCAAACTATAAAAAATTACACTCAGATTCCGGACGTCTAAAGCGTTTTTTTATTGGCGGCCGCAATTGCTTGTTCATTGACGCATAGTAAATCGTCGTTTGACCTTCGGTAAAAGAAAGAGACTTAAAACCGGATGTCGTAACCTTCCATGACGCAGGGTGAAACCCGTTGACTTTTTCAGGGAAATGGCATTTCCTCTATGCCGAGAGGAACTGCTTGCACTTTGTCCGGGTTAATTTTATCTGCATCATTGCTGGAACTTGGTATAAAATAGAGTGAAGTCTTTTATACAGACGGAGACACATTTCTGGACTAAGTGATGCAATAGGCGCACTGATCAGCCTTTTTTAAATTCCAAGTGCCCGAGATCTTTAAATCTAGCAAATGCTTAAACTAATGAAATGCAACTCCGCCCTGATCATAAAACCTCTGATTAGCCATCATTCTAGACATCATCTTGCGAGAGTTGTGCTAATAAATGTTCCAGGTTAGCTTTGTCGAAAAAGATGCCTAGCTACGCTGTTAAAAGCCATTTTTATATGCAGGCAGTGACATCATAATTTTCAACTTTGCTGATGACTGAGCTGTAAAAACAGCATATCACTAAGCAACGAACACGCCCTAAGCAAAAATTACCAAAAGGATGTCCAGAATAACTTTTCATGTGGGTGAGTAATACGTCTTGAGACGGAAGAAATTCCCACTTAATTTTGCAGAAATTAAAATTAGACGAATCAGCATCAAATAATGAATCCGCATTTTGAAAACTTTATTAGATGTTGACCTCGACTTTAGTTTTCTCTAGTTAAACAAAATGTAAATGTATGATGGATATGGGCGTTAAACTTTACTGGCCGTTTGCAGATAGAAAACGATAATTGCACACCTCCGGTTTAATGATCACTAAGGGGAACCTCGAACTTACATTGATGTGTTGGTGATGGTCCATAAAGTATTAAAGATGTCTTTTACTTGAAAACAAGTTTTATGACAAAAAGTGACACTAAAATCATCATTATACAAAGTATTACCAAGACCGTCCGGGTGGGGCATTCAATGGAAATGAAGCTCAATTCGTGTGTCTGATTTATCATAAAAATTAACAAGCACAGTTTAGCAAAGTTTTTAATATTAATTGCAACCGTGCGCGGTTAACATGCATAAGTGGTGATAATTTTGCAATATCACAACGCTGTATTTACAGTCATCAAAGAATAGTGTCGCGGCCTCAATGTTGTCCGTCCACTTAAACCTGACTACAAAGTCTCTCATCGCTCTCTAATCTAATGGGGCTGTGCACTGTGCTTGCTGCAGGCGCTGTAATAAATCCTTGTGGACTGCTTGCACGGTCACTGGCTCCAACAAAGAGAGGGTGGCTGGTTAAATTCAGTTTTCCCGTAATGCGACTTCCACTGCCGTTCGTACAGACACCGCTATCGCTGCTCGCATTGTTCCCCTCCGCACCTCCAACTTCGTCATCCGATTTGAAGGTCACACGGGCACCAGGTGCAACCCTTCGTGAACCCCCCTGTGATCGCTGCGGACTGCCGGCACGGCCTAATGACGCAAGACTCACGTAAGCAGGATCACTAGAATTCCCCCTGAATGGTTGATAGGATTCATCCGACACAATATCTCCGTCGCATATAGTAACCAATCCCGCTCCTTTTTGGAGATAGGCATAGTTTGTCGACCTGTCGTATCCCATTTGAATGGCATTTTCAGATTCGTCCGATAGAGTCGGTGGGCCATCGCGAAGCAACCCGCCTGGATTGGCCTGTCGTGCTTCAGTGAAACAGCCGTACACGGAGTTTGCACCAGATGGCCCTCGGTTCGCATAATTTCCCTCGTATGGCGTTGACGAACCGCCAAACGCCAAACTCCCGTTTTGAGCAGGAATGAAACCGTTTTGGCATTGTAACCAGGGCCAGAAGTAGCTCGCACCCAGTTGAGCTGCGGCTGGGTTGTTCATGAGTGGCCAGGGGGCAAACTGGGAGACTCCCAGTCCCAGTCTTTCTGCATGAGACCGGTGTTTTGGAGACGTCAGTCGGGATCTACCGGTGGAAGGAGCTGGCATGTGAAGCAGACGGAACCTCCAAGCTGTTTTGACTGCAACACCAAACCACAGAACTAGCCAGAGAATTAAATAGAGTATCGACAAGATGACAAAAATTAGTGGAAGGCGAACACGTGCGTGCCAAAAACACTGCAACATTGGGCCAAAAAGGCAGCTTCGTGTGATCGCCAGGCAGCAGAATGAAAAAGCCGAAGTTAGCGAAGGCCAAAATGCGACGGATGATCTCAAATTTGTCGACTTGCCGATAACACTTGGTTGTGCCGTTGAATTAATGGCTGATTTTGATCGAAGTGTATCACTGCTGGCCGACAAAGCGGACGGAGTTGCAGCTCTAGACGAAGAATTTCCAAAGACCAGTGGATTTCGTCTTGACGGTCGCCAAACTTTTGTGGTCACGGCGATTACGCTGGGACCATATAAATCGATTTCATGTGCACTCGCATCTTCCAGAAGAGCGGAGCCCTTCTCTTCACGCAGAAACGGGTCTCCTTGTTTTGGAGCGTCAAACTCGCCTGCCATGATTAGATTGGCATAGTTGGTGACTGATTGCTGAAACAACAGTTCGCCTAAAGAATAAAACGCCATCAATCCTGCAAGGAGGGATAAAAAGCCGATGCCGCTAACAACAGTGCAAACCCATGGTTCGAAAAGCTGGGAGTTAACTGGAACTAGATCTACACGGGCACCAAATTGGTCTCTAACTCCAGCGGTGAAAATTTTTAACAGCAGTTCCACAGTAGCAGCTTCCAGTAAAACGTAACAGCCAGTGACGGCGGTGTACAAAGACAGGAGGATTGAGAAAACGCGACTGGTGAACCAAAACGGAGCCGCGATGCGAACTGTGAGCACCACGAGTGCCGTCGCCAAAACAACAAATTCTGGACTAATGTCAGGTGGATTTGACGGATATGGATGGCCAGCGAAGCGATTAGGAACCTCCCTTTGGTCGTGCACATGGATACTTTCGAATCTCGGTTCATTTGAGTAAGAGTGAAGGAGCTGATTGCCAGCCGATGGGGCACTGTAGTAATTTGCCTGTGTTTTATTAGGAACCGTTGCAAGTCGAAAGCTATTTAGCAGCCAATCCAGATTTGAACGCCATACGTAGTCTAAAAGAAATTAAAGAAATTTATGAAATCACTACGGATAATTCAAAAATCCTTTGTATTTGAGGGGTGATTCAATGTGTGGATGGGGGGCTATTTACAGCTGCATTCAATTGAGCCAAACTGGGATTCAAGAGTAGTCACTTAGCTAAGTAGACCGTGATTTTTTCCGAGTGTATGTGGTGTGCAACCGCATCCAAATAAGCACCTTGGATAGTTGAAGGTTTACATTAACTAGTGGTCACGTAAAAAAGCTGTTTGCTGTTTTTATCTCGATCTTTGGAAGAGGCGAAAAAAACATTAAAATTGAGTGGTACATTACTGCAGCTTACTACACAGAGGAGACCGAAACCAATGAAGATGAAAGAGTGCGGATGAGTGGAATTGTCAAAAGGTAAAGTTGATGATTTGAAAGTAGTGAAAAGTGAAAAAAAATTAACAAAATCCACAGACGTGTATTAGTTTCCTGGCAAAAAGTTGTACTGGCATCGGATTTCCTAGCCCAACCACTCGACTTTCAGCACCTCAGCAACCCCAGTTTTTGAAAACGCGATGAATCATTCGATAAAATCGTGGCCCAAATAGCGAGTCAAGATTGAAGGCTTTGGCAGGCACGCGCGCTCAATCCATGCGTCTGCGTGACTCACCGTCGACTAAACGTCGACGCCCACCACCAGGCCAAATTCGACCCGTGAGTGAAAAAAAGGCGATTCTTGAGGCTCGCCATTCTGGCCCTGTTAACATTGCCTCATGGGCGTGACTGACACTGCTTAGACTTACTTTGTAGCGGAAATTAAAAAAATGGGCTACCCTAGAGGCTCCTAGGCAAATCCAGTTGTGCTGTAATGCTGGGCGCAAGGGCGATTAAGACATTTGAAAAACAAATCCGAGTTGGGCTTAAACCGTGGTATTTGTACGACATTCACATGACCTCTATTCTTGATGTGGTCGATTTTCCGAAAAACCTTTACTATTTCTATCACTCAGCGTTCTTCATTATTTCAATTTGCATTAAACAGATAGCTAAGAACGTTTTATTAACCATTTAGCCAGACGTCTAAGTAAAAAAATACCACAATATCAATCAAAATACAAGACCTTCAATATCCTTACTAAAAAGTTAAGATATTTTGCTTTTGCGTCAAATGGTAGCTTTTTATTCCTCTTGTAGTCAAAATCAGTCTTTGTAAAATTGGGAAATATTAAAGTTGGCCGTAGCGTCGGCAGCCAAAATTACGAAAATGGAATATTAATGAGATTGAATACGGAGGTTTTAAGGAAGGCGGGGTTGAGTTAAATAATTTTTTATTGAGAGAAATATCACAAAAAGTGAGGTCATCTCGGCAAATCTCTTGGAATTTCACAGTGTACCGATCTGAGTTAGTCAAAGCGACCACTTCAGAAAATAAGCAGTAAAAATAAAATTATCTTGTTAAATAGCTCAAACTTTAGCATTTGTCAAAGAATTAACATCACAAATCTAAACTAGCATCTATTTTGAGTAATTTATACTTAACTTAAAACAGCTTGGCTGAAGTTAGGAGGATTTTGTTAAACAGAGCCACCAAAATGAAATGTTAACAGAACAACCGCAGGTAAATTCGATGTCTTCCGAAGGGTAACTCTTTTCGACGTCCAGTAGCCGATTCCGCTATGAAAAACTAATCATAGTTCGTTGTATTACGATCTGCCTCACGTAGGAAAAGCATGTTACTGAAAATCTCACCCAGCGACACTCAAAAAGGCAAAAAAGAGACATAAATTGAATGTGCTCATGGCAAATTGAAAAGGCGGACAGAATTGACCAAATAAATTTGTGTATTCCGTCTCATTACAGTGGCCTAATTCGAAAGTGTGCATGAAATAAGTTGGGCGAAAAGAAACTCGGCACTTTTTTCTTTTCATTCACATCGTTAAAAAAACTCCAAGTTTTGATACCGCAGCACCTCAAACTTTTCATTCCTTCATTCTCGAGTAACTTTACTGTGGCAGATGAATATCAAGCAGATTTAATACAAGCGTTTGGGGCGCGCATTGGCAAGTACCATGGCTGTAATAGCTCACGCATTTGAAAAATACGTAAAAGGATGAATTAAACTTATCAAAAGGACACAACTCTTTGCAATACATATGTCACATTACACCAAAACCGCCAAAATTAGTTGTTCATGGTAATTCTGAAGTTAACAAAGATTTGCAATATCTTTTATTACCTAGGCTTTTATTCAATGGCCAAAAATTAAATAGGAACTGACATTAAATTCTAGATTAGTGGCGTTGCTATGGTGACCAAAGTCGACATTTATTGTATGTAACCAAAGCAACCTCTAACTGTGCCACCGACTGCTTTTGTCAGTAGCGGTTATGTCATTTATGTTCCACATCCTGAATTTAAAAAAAAAAACTAATTTTTGTCAATGCTGTCAAGATGGTATGCAAGTTTTCCACGCAACAATTGTAAAACTTGGACATGGGAACCAATGCATACGGCCAGTTGTTATTTATGGTTAATTTAAACAACGCAATATGAAAACACATTTACAAATACAGGTGATCGTTTTGAAAGTAGCGGAATGCTCTGACGCCTCGAAAGCAAAATTTGTAGGACTGATTTATAACTTTCAATAATAAACCCAAGCAGTCTATAAGACGACACGCATATACTTTTCGTACGTTTTTCATCACAAAAGTACGTAGAATGTACTCTAAGTTGGCACATTTTCCCGGAAAGTAAACCAAAGATGCATAGACATCTGAACTTTAGAATTTAAACAATTGTCAGTAATACGTTTGAAAATGCATCCCAGTAGCTTGATTACAAGAAGAATCTGCTAGTACAAGTTTAACCTCTAGACGAATCCAATATGACTCATTAACCCCACAAACAGAAATCATGTCTTGAAATGGTACCAAACGACATGTTGAAAAAACGTGTCTAATTAAAATCATTTGCTTAAGCTACTCCTACTCATTCTCTCGACAACTCGTGGGAGCGCATTAAAACAGTGCGGCCTTCACAGCTGCCACCAGAGTGTCTTCCATTCGAACACACTACTTCGTCATCTGTAGCCATTTATTTTTCCGTCGAAATCACGTCCTTACTTGCTGAAAAAAATTTAAGATTTTAAAAGCCTTTAAAAAGATAGGAGCTATTTTGGCATTAGAAGCAGAAGCATAAAACAAAATGGTCCAGTTATTTCGATTAAAATATAACTCAAACAAATCAAAGAAAGTACTTTCCTATAGTCCACCATTAAGCACATACGCAGGCCTTGGCTTTGCTTTGAATCAGATTTCGACTGTTGATTGGTGTTTCAACTGGCAAAAATTGGTGATGTACTTGTAAATGCCTTAAGCACATTTAAATACGACTACTGGAAAAAAAAAACTTTGCAAATGTTAGTTTCCACAACCCAATAAAACAAATTATTCAGCCCCTAAATACATGTCTCTTGACCAGCCATACGACAGAAAAACGCTTTACGCCTCGCACATGAATAAGACAGTAAAATGTCGAGAGCACCGAAGGCATTGTACACTTGTGAGGTGTGACATTTTTGAACCTGGTACGAAACAGCGCAACCTCTGCTGTGAAGTCGAATACTTAACACGTTCATATCACAAATGTACATATAGATAATTTCAGCTCCGTATCTGTGTCATTAGGAGTGCTTTAATTTGGCCAAAAATCATGCGAAAATACGAAATCTGCACTAGTGGATCCAGCGTAATCACAGAATGCTTCTTTCTTAGCTGTCCCGATGTGTGGCCCTACCGAAACATTGTCCCCGAGGCAAAATAAGCACCGTGTGGTCATCACATGTGAGCAAACTGAAATCGAGCTACTGAAAACCCCCAAACGCGTCAGCTAAAATCCTCATTGAAGAACCCTTAAGAGTAGCACACACACACACGCACGAGCTTAAACTCAAGCAAGGAAATATTCGAGTACTGAATACCCTAACAAAGCCAATCCACGTTACAAAATCTATATAAAAAAACACATTTCGAAGAGTAAGCGCGAAATCTAATGTTGGTCGAGACCACATATTTTACTTCAGGATTTGTCACAACCGTTTTGATGCGGCACACAATTTACAAAAGAATGGTGAAATTTTGTGAAACATTTCTTGACTTGTAACCAAATTGTGTTTGTGGGGGATAGATGGGCTCGGTTTTTTCGCTGATTTATTTTCTCTATAGGCCTCAATTTTGACAAAATATTATTGTAGTTTGGACTTAGTGACCGTAATTTCTGACGAATCCCATTCTTGCACTACAAAAGCCACACTACACTTTTCCGAGTAACCCTAAATGTGCGTCCACATTCGGCAATTTGTAGGTAATTTTAGACGCTAGCCACATTTACGAATTCATCATAGTGTTATGGAAATTAAGGGGCCTAAGATCGTTCTCCTTGATGAACAGGTGGACAGGGGCATGCAATGAGACAGCACCAATTATCTCTGTGTAATCGTTAAATGCAACACTTACCGGGCCGTATGGCTTCATTTTTAATCTGTTCCGCTTCGAAAACGGAAACAGGTAAAAGGAGAGCGAAGGCAATTAGGACGTGGATGAGGCAGGCGAATGGTCGAAGTTGCCGCCTGGCCGCGACCCACCACCCACCGTTGTCAAAACCCACCGTTCTGTCTTGAATGATAAAGGACTCGAAATCAGGGGACTGTGGTGTTTCATTTAGTGATTGTGTTGAATGGGCTATCCTCGACCTTAACCGCTCTGCCGCCTCGGGGTCGGCTGACCTTTGAGCCAGTCTAAAACACGGTAGCTGTGCCAACATTGCATGAAGGTGAAGGCAATCTCTGCCGAGAGTAATTCCATCGTTCGCCGAATGCCCCACTCTCGATATAGCAGAATAAACTAATACGGGGAACAAAGACACCACAACAACTAGACATGCAACCTGGAGGTTCATCGGGAAGTGCCAGTTCCATTCAAAGCCGAATCGTGGGTGAAAAGACTGCATTTTGAACTCCTGATAACGGAGAATTGCAAGCCAAACAAGCCAACAAGTTGAGACAACAACGAAGACGGCATACCAAAGCTTCCAGAGGCTGTCAAATCCTCCGACGCAATACGTGTTCAATCTTGACCCCCAGGTTCTTTGTTTTGATCCAGATGGAGGTGTAGTGATTGGGAAGTCCCAGATGCGCTTTTTTGAGTGGTAGAAAGCAGGGTGTGAATCCGTAGCTGGGTCGGACATGCTGATTACATACTTTTAGAATAACATAGCTCTTTTAGCGATGGGTGGTACCTTCTGAAGTTACTGAAACCCTCTCACGTCACTTAGAGCAACTCAATTCGTGTTAGAACGAAGCCAAATCGCACCAATACGAATAAAGTATGTCGTGTCCTTTGCGCTCATTGGCTGGTTAAGCCCATGGCCGCTGAAGGTATGCAGTCGCGTGCTGGTACTTTGTTGAGGTGAAAAGACCTTATTTTTTTGGGGCCTTGAAGTTTGACCACCTGACTATGCAGTGAAATTTTAAGACAGCAAGTAATAATTAGTGCCATGAAATTATTTATGTCATGTTTACCCTTCCTACCCAACAATACAATTTAGATTTTCGGAGTGGCTTATTCATGTTGTGAAGACTATGTTTTCATATGTTTAAAAATTAAAATATTGCCGTGGGTGTGTTGACAGACTTAGGCGCTCATCTTTCATCGGAATGAAGCCCTTGATATTTTGAGGTCGCAAGTAAGCTTCTAATCAAACCCCTATGTTGGGCCATTGAATAGTTTTTATTATGATTTGCCGCACACCTCAATCACTTGTATACTGTAAGCAGAAAAATTATTTCGAGTGACGCGTCATTGTGTCAAATAACCATTTACCAAGCTTCTGGCGTGTCTAAGCAGCGATGTGTAGGTCCACACATCAGCTAATTATCTAGTCAAAGCCTCGTTAAAAGTCAAGTTTCTTGTGCAGACTACGAGATCTTTGAGGCAATTTTAAGCGCATTGACTTGGCGTTTCAGCGCTTGTCTAGTAGAGTTGAAATGTCCCTTGGCGTGAAACAGACGCAAGGCTCTCTGACTCGCTCTGTCAACGTCGGTGTCGTATTTACAGTCTAAAATGGTGTTGTGGTTTGTAAACGGTGACACATCACCAATAGAAGCATGTGTGAACAAGCTGTTGCGCAGACTACACAACGCAATGTGCCACCCCAAGCTAAGTGTGCCGTTCGGTCACCCCTCCCCCCTCCTAATCGCCATCGCAACCACCCTCATCGCACCTCATCTCGCTCCCCCCTTTGCGCTCACACGTGGACTTTGGTGGGTGGACACTAAAGGGGCCGATTCCACCACATGAATGTGGTGTAATGTAGATGAAACGCTTTAACCGCTATCTTCATATGCTGTTTTTTTTAATGTTCAATAATAAGTACTACCAACTACTGTCGTTTTCGGCTTTAGTGCAAAAGATTAATATTGCCATTACATAACCGGTGAATGTCATACAAATGTTGTTAGTCCCAGATAATAATAATAATAATAAACGCTTAAAAGGTGAGTTTTTACCATGCAACTCTGTGAGATGTGGCAAAAAAAGGAGCAGCTAATCTGCTTTTCGTGACACCATTTAGTTTCGTGTACATACAGGATCGTGACCTAGGCCACAGTACCCTAAGGCTTGTAGTTTGGCTAAGCAACACTTCAGCAATGAAAACGCTCTGTCGTGCAGGATGTCCAAATCCAGCCATCACCGACGGGCCTCTTTTCCGGCTGCTTTGCGCGATGAACAGCCCGGCCGATTGTGGGCTTCCTCAGTTAGGCTAAGCTCTAGCATGGTTTAAAACCAACGCATGAAGTGAAAAACAGTCGTATCATGCTAACAGCGCTCCCAAACCTCACAAATCCACCCTCACCCTAATTTTCGACGTCAAAATTAAGCCAAGCAGAAGAAGTGAAAAGTATATCAGTTCGTCCAATGAATGATGGAAATGGGGTAATATGTGACTTAGTTATTTGGTAAGTTGATTCCCCATAAAAACAAACCTTTTACATTCACGTGTGTTCCTCTCCCTATCTCTCACTGCTGTCTTGTTTGTTGTTCTAGACCTGACGAGCTATCGATGTTTAGGGGATGTTTATTATTTTAAACAGAGGCGCAATGAGTAGAATTGCAGCTTGCCCATGAAAGACGGCGGGTAATTTGACTTCGAGAAATCATTTCCAATTGAGAAAACTTACTTCGGTTACGTTGGGATCCTGGCCACCAGGTGGGATTAGCATGAATTCGATTCTAGACGTCGGTTTCGTGTCACCGCTTACATGCTTTAATCAATGAATAGGAGCATCCTGTTGAATCATCGCTCCCTGATTCATATGCAGGATTATGGCACTGTCAGGCAACCATCGGTGGTAGCCATTCAAACTGTGAAAGTCATTTACTAATTGAACGTACGCATCGACTGCCTTGCATTCAATGGATATTTTCGTCCGAAAACTACTTCATGCATATCAGTTGCCTTTGAAGTCCCTTAACTAGAGTGGCTACATCTCCAGAAGGTTTTTAGTTTTTTTGTATTAGCAGGACAATTTTACTGTCAACATCATATTAAATTCCCTTGCCCTTATTTGTTTCCTGTTGATTGCCTTGTTGAGTTGGGGTGAACCATCACCTTGGACATTTCCAACCTTTCCTCATAGTAAAGCATGAAGAAGAGAGGAAAAGGAGGTATTTTTCTACTTAATGGAAGCTGTAACTACCACTATCAAACCAAGTAAAGTGTGATAGTTGATTTTAAAAGTGGCCCCCTCGGTAAGGCAACTTTCTCAAAATGCCATTAAAATATCCTGCTTGTACGTGAAGCTGCATACATGAAAAAGTAGCAGGGCGTTTTTTGTAGAGATATAGTGGATTTTGAATGATAGGCAAATTGCTTGATGTCCCATACAAAAATACCCCCTGTACGTCAGCAGCAAATCATCTAGCCAGAGATCCAAAAATGCCAAAAAAATAATTGTTGTTAACTTTCTTCTTGGTTGAACAAGGGTCAACGATTGTCACCACAGGAAAAATATTAACAGAAATATCGCTTGTGAGTGTCACCGAGGTGACGCCCAATCCTGACTTAGTTACTTCCAAAATTCAGCATAACTAGAGTTTTCGTAATTTAAAATTTCAGTTTAAAAGAATGCTTTTATAAGTAACTTCATAAATACTCTTTAAGAGTTAATTTGTGCTCTCATTTCGTTATGAAGCACTAACGGGTTGATTAAAACCAGACTGCAGAATGTCTCATAAAAAAAGTTGAAAACCAGAAGTACTGTTAAAAACATAACGCAAGGTGCTCTGCGTAGTAGACACCCATAAAGAATTTAACAACCACGGCACTTCGGTGAGCCTGTTCAGCTAAAGTACACCGGTGCGCCAGAGGTAAAGGTCGGGGTAGACCCGTGTCACGAAAGGTGAACAGCGGACAGAGAAACAACACCTCACGGTCGTTTTGACCTGTTATCCAAGCCCAACTTGAGCCACGAAATCCAGCTTTTTCTCCACCTCATTGTGAGGTGGGAAGAAGAAGGGTGGATTTGTTTTAATAAATAATGATGGTGGCTACACTGGCATGACCAGAGTAGAGACCGATTCAACTGTTCAGACAATACAGGGATCAAAATAGGGTGCAGCGAATACTTGACGGTCCTTAACCACCTTAATTCGCTGTGGGATTTAAAATCAAGGCAAAATGATCGCGTAAGAGAATTATCATCGGTAATTCAATTGCATTTGGTCTCTATTAGTCAGTGGAATAAGCCTTATTCTGGAGTGTTATGCTTGGCTGCATTCTCCATAACTATTGTAAGCCAGCTAGTTTAGATAAGCAAATCTGACTCACCTTCCAATTTCCTACTTTCACAATATCTCGTAAACAGTTGGTGAAATCAAGATGCCCCCAACAATATCATTTGAGCCTAACCAAATTCATGGCACCAGTTCTACATGCAATTGGAAGTAGCAGTTGCTTTTTTTGCAGACGGAAGCGCATTGGACGCATTATCCTTTTTTCTGATTAACCCGTCTGTATTGTGGCTACCATCTTTGTTTCCTGGTCGCTACAGATAATTTGTGACTATGGCACGTGGGCCTTCATTAATTTCTGATCACGGAATTACGACCACCTTACAAATCTCATTAGTGTAATGATTGCCTGTCATAATATAGATAGCTCACGCAATCTAAGTACGACAAAGATAAAAGACTTACCTATGTATGCGGCATGGCGGCATGCTTGATTGCTATCCATGGAACTCGAGTTCCGACTTTGTATAAAGAAAAAAACTTCTTGTAATCAGGTCTAAGCTCCATTTCAAACCCCATGGATTTTGCAGGGGTTAAACCTGAAAATCTGAAAATTAAAAGCTAATTAGAGTGCTGTACTGAGGCAACACACAAAGAGGTTGTAAGAAGGAAACATGTAGTTACATGATTGCAGTATCGCTCGCATGAGAGGCTCAGTAGTGGTTGCTGTTAGGCGTAACCTTAAAGTCTGAGGGCTGCTTACCAGAAACCTAGCGCTTCATCGCCTGCTACCAAATGTGTCCATTTATCAAGGAGACAACTTAGTGGTGACATTTCGAGCTGGTATTTTGAAGGCCGTTCAAAAGCCCTTTTAACATAGGCATATTGAATAAACGTTGCAAATTTAAACTTCCCTTTTCCTGACAAGTTAAAGGTGCAAGAATCCTTTCAACAGTGCCTCCGCGAAACTCAAGACTATTTTTTTGCATTAAAGTCTGCTTTTTTTGCCATCCTAAACTCGGCCATTAAAACCTCACACTAGATTGGATGGTCTCATTAATTAGAAAAGCCACGGTTCACATTTTAGTGGTCAGCTTTCCGTGTTGATGCTTAACTCGTTGTCATCTGTGAACTCTTGGTGGCCGTATAATTATTTGGCATCTTTGTGGTTACTTCCAGACGAATAATCTGTCAGATATTGAATATACAAGCTTCTTTTGAATGCCTGCCTAGATTGATGCTCCATGGCTGAGCAATACATAGCTATGCTGTTGGGTAATTGGCTCTCTGCTCATCCTCGCAAGTATTACACACGAGTGAACCAAACTCACCACTTGGGTGGGGCTCTAAATCCCTATCATTTGACCGCCCTTCTTTCATCTTATTAAGCCAGTTACTAAGTTACGAACGCACTGACAAGAGAAATTTCCTCGCAAATGTCAAACCAACGATGAA